TACATACTGACACACATCAAAACAATGTTGTGTATATTTAATTATGCCATTTTATCTGTTAATTAAAAAGAGTGGCCGTGATTTTGTTTGCCCTCTCTTCTCATGAGGCTCAACACCCCCCCCCCCCCCCTATGTGTGTGGTTGTAGATCGGCACAGGCATGTAAGCGATTTTCTGAACGTATATATTTACTTTGCTAAATATTTGACAAACCAGAGATTGTTGCTATTGTGTGTGTTGATCTATGACTTTAAAGTCTACACAAAAGACGATTTCAAATAATTTAAATAATTCAAATAATTTTATGACGGCCGCCCACGTAATCCTGGAATGCGAGGGAGTGGCCACACAATGGGCAAGTATCATTGCTGATACTGTCCTCGACGCATAAAAGACAACTCTTTCAGTCTAAATGCGGAAACCGAAGCCCACAACCAATACTAACACCGGTAGCGATCACCGCCTTGTCTGAGGCTCTCTGAAAATCAACTATTAGCCTGATATGTCCGTTTGTTAAAATCAAGGTTCCAACCAACTCTGCTCCAAGTCATGACGTAACTCCACAACAGACGTAAACCAGAATATCGAAAAAGTGGTTCGGATCCTCCAAGTAGTAAAGTAGTCAAATATTTGACTGCTTTATTATTTGATGAAACCCTCCCTTTGTGGGGCATCAGAATGTAGTTAGTGTTAAGAGAGCGTACGTGTCCGTATGTCTCAAATCGGAAACAAAATCTGTGTAACATCTGACGCTGTACAATGTTGAGCGTCAGATGATGAGTTCTAAAGAGCCAGAAGAGATGTTTTGTGTTTATATCATACACTCTTCACTCTAATACGAGATATTGTGAAACTCTCCGCACTATACACAATACATAGAAATATATACTTATACGAATAATTGATTTACACATAATGCATATACAAATTGTACATAGATTTAACATCAAATATGATGTCATATGAATATGAAAGTACAAATTCCTGCTCAAAATAAGGCAATACATAATCATAAACGAAATTAAAATTATGATTTACAAGTCACAATAATAGTTACACACCTAATTAAAAAGTAATGTATAAGTGAAATTGAAAGTAAAGATCATTTACTAACCTATTAGACGTATCTGTTTAGTATTAAAGAGCAACGTTTGACGTCACACTGTACTCATATTCAATGGTTTACTTTGAACGTGGAACTGTTGCGCGGTGCGAACAAGGCGCTGCTACTCGCTCATCATCTCGCCCTTTACCAAATTCGCAAATATTTGGTTGGTTTCTTCCATGATCGGCTGCTCGCCTGACGTCAATTTGAGGGGGAACCTGTAGTCGGTGAGGCCAGTAGGACAGGAACATCGAATTGCCATAACCTATGGGAGGTGGAAGGAAAACACTTGTTTTACATAAACTAGGTAAAGCTCTCTAGGCCTGTATCTGTTATAAATATTTATTGCTTCGTGACGTCTGTTGTACAAAAATGTATGTACTTATATGTATTTATCAATAATGTTTACAGTAAGTGTTTGTATTCAATGTATTTAGGTAGTTTATCCGTACTAGTAACACATAATGGCATCATCAAAGTGTGTTCTGAACACCACTTAAACTAGGTACAAAGTTTGTAATATTCACTACTTATGTTTTCTTTGTATCAAGTTGGTATGCAGTTAATGTCACTGTTCAGTTGCTACATATTAGTATTAAGTACATGTGCCCGTACTAGTTTACTTTCGGAAAATAATAAGGAGATAACAGTCAGATCATCCAAGGGCGTCTGTACACGAAGGCAGCCTGTGGTAAGCCCACCTATTGTAGCAGTTTATTGTACCCTACGTGGTGACGGATTAAGAATACCGAGTGTCACCACCTACCTATTCATCCCGTGGGACTCGTAAGAGTCGACTAAAGGAGCAAACTACGCAGGACAACAGCACTGAAAAGAGAAGGAAAACTTGAAACAAACCCTATACCAACCCGTCTGGCCAGCGTGGTATAGTAGGCCAAAACCTCCTTTCTAAGGAGAGGCCTATGTCCAGCAGTGGACTGTTATAGGCTGTTGATGATTGATTGTACCCTACCGACTTTTGTTATGTTCAGTGTACACAGTACCTACTGTGTTTGCACGGTACAATTATAATTGTACCGTGGTGTTTGTGAGCCCTTCTTGTTATATATTAGAACAGTGCGAAAGGTAGAGACTGATTACCGAGTCTACTATGTATCGCCATTACTGTACACAAACTGTATCGACTTTACTTGATATTGATACAGAAGATTTCTAAAAGCGATAATGAAACACACCATCACGTGCTTCCATGCAACTTGTGGCGGTTGTGAATAAAATCGAATGAAACAATCTTTACACTGTACACAGACATCATAAATTAAATACTTAAACTGCTTAAAATAAATACACAAAGTGTGCAAAAATGTCTTTTCTCTTCTTTCGAATCTATTTTGAACAATACGGTATTATTCATTATTCAAATGAATACGTTATATACGTTGTGAATTTAACCAATTTAAGGAGATAAACATTGTCTTTTACAGCATATCAATTAGATTAGCAATCATTTCATTTCACAATTAGCATATCATAGATCATCATAGAATATCTTAGAAGATATCAGAGATTTAAAATGCGGGGGCAAAGGGCAAATAGCAGAGTTAATTACTCCACACTGAAACCACATTAGTAGTATCTGTAGTATCTGCATTGCACCCGTGCGAAGCCGGGGCGGATCGCTAGTATATACAACACAGAGAGATAGCTTCACTAGCTGACCTTAGGGAGCGTTCAAATATTACGTAACGCAATTTGGGGGGGGGAGGGGGTCTCGTAAAACGTTACGATGCGTTACAGGCGCTCTTTTCATTTACGTTACGGGGAAACCCCTGGATTGTATTAGTCTGGTCGTCATTTTTTGCATGCCTAGCGCGAGCGTAGGTATGCTCTACTCTCACCTAAAAATTCAAATCACCGATCACGTGGCGTTAAATCGTAGTTAAATCAATAATATGCATATAAATAGGATGATATGCGAGAAGCCCAAAATCGATCTAAGTGGCGTGCAATGGGAGAGGCCTATGTCCAGCAGTGGACTGCGATAGGCTGATGATGAAATAGGATAAAAAACACATTATTAAGGAAATAAATTATTAATGAATAGATCAAATATATTTTTGAGCTGCATGTAACCTTTTTAATATAAAAAAAGTGAATTTAATGGATTTATGGCGGCGTAACCTTAAAACTTTGAGAGAATAACATTTTAAACCTGAATTCTTTTTTCATCTCCTTATTATAAATATAAGAACCAACACGCGCAAAATCATAACTTAGTATCCATTCGTTTAATTGATATTTAATTTTTTCGGTTGAAATTTTCATTCAATTTTTTTATTTTTTTTTATTTAGTAGATTAAAACTATACCAAGTGTAAAAACTATTACATAACTTTTTACGACTTTAGGGTAAATGAGGGGGGAGGGTAAAGAGGGGGGGGGGTACAGAAAAACGTTACGGTGCGTTACAAGGGAGGGGGGAGGGGGGGGGGTCAAAAATCTTCAAAAATTGCGTTACGTAATACTTGAACGCTCCCTTATGAGCTAAGTTCAGCCATTGTGTTTTTGTGTAGAGCACTGACGTCTGAGATTTCAGATAGCACTCCAAAATCTCCAGTTTCCTCAATCGAAGTAATCTACTCCATATTTCAACATCATTTAATGGACGATCTACTCATTTCTTTAGGTATTTTTTTGCAAAATTGGTGCAGCTTTAACTATGTATATCTAAAGTAATCGTGAAAAAATATTGTTTTTATGTAGTTTACATTTAGAAGAACTATAAGTTGAAGAGTTTTGGACCATAAGTAATTATTTTTTATCAGCTTGTGCGGTTTAAATAAATTAGTCTTTAAATTCGAAGATTCTCTCATCGATAAACAGGCCAAGTGGTTAAAAAAACAACTGCAATACACTACTTACCATAACTGTCACGTATTTCACTATCGACGACATTGAACACTGTTTGTTCTGTTTCATTTTATGTGAGCAGTCCAAGTTTTTGTCTTATTTGACAGTTGTTTGGTAATTAATCTGTAATGAATAGCACACACTAAAGATTGTAAATATGTTCATTGGAAACAAACAATCCACATTTTATTTGAAGGAACGCTACAATTGTGAATCCAGTTATGAAACTTAAAAAAAAAAGAGCATGTGCCTTTTGCTCTGATAACTATTAATGTTTTCAAGTCATGGCTCGCTATAGAGACTCCAGCTCTCCGTGGACTTTTCCTAATTTTGCGAATGATGGAATTGTGTTACATGCTCTTAAGATTGGGAGTCCCATGATGGCAATACTTTTTGCGTTCCATTTAGTTGTTAATTTTATTAAAACAAATCTAGACGTAGTACTAGATTGTTTATTAAAACAAAGTTTATAATACATACTAGCTTTTGCCGGCGGCTTCGCCCGCGTGGTGTCGGTTATCGCGACAAAAAGTTTCCTATGTCACTCGCTAATAATATATTTCCATTGGTAGAAGAATTTTTTAAATCGGTTTAGGCGTGAAAGCGTGAAAACAAACTCATTTTCACATTTTTAATAAAAAAGTATGGATGTATGGATTCTTTTCCTTTTCTTAAAATTGAGTCAGACTGTAAATAAAACTTGTGTGAAAAGAAGTAATATACCTTGGTACAGAAGAATATGTTGCACTCAAAAGGCGTTCTTGTGTCTTAGTTTCACAAGTTGATTGTTTCAGTACAGTACAGTTAGTATATATAAAACACTGTGCAAGTGATGTTTAAGGCACTTCATACTTAGATATTGAATACGGCAGTCGAATGTGTTGTAGAAAACATCAAGCATTAGAACAGTCTCTATTTGTATTCACAGCTGGTTTCTATTGTTTTATTTTGTTAAATCCAAAACTGTTTGTTTTATTTTCGGTTTTGATAACTGATAAATATTATTAATAGTTTTACCTGGCTGCACTAGCTACACAGGTATGTCTCTTTCTCGTCGAAGTACATTATGTAAATAAACGAGAGACATTGTGCGAGATGATCCGATGTGTCGGTCGATGTCTTCAATTGGCGGACAAAGGCAGGCCATTGTGGCGGTAAGTCAGGGCGTCGCCACTTCACATCGCACTCTAACCAATTCTTTCGCGTGGCCAGGGCGCGCACCGATCGTCCGCGCCCGGAGGCACGGGTGCGCTGTCCCACGAGTCCGGCCACAGCTATGTTCGAGGTCTGCGTTAATGCAAAATTTTGGTTACAAAAAGTGTTCGAACCGAGTCTGTTCTGTGGCACACTGCACGTCATCGCGAGTGTGCGTGATTAACTCTCATAAGTTTGATTGATTGCGTCTTTAGTCGAGGGGTCACTAGATTGTCATTTCTAGATAAAGACTGCCTGAGGTCGAAGCGGACTCCGGCTATCTCTAGGTTACTCTGAAAATAGTTAGGTGGGTCGTAATAGGGGACTCGCGTAGTCTTGAGGAGTACTGGTAGCTGGGTGGATTTGGGTTAAGAGACTTAAGAGAGTAGGAAGAACAAGTCGACCTTGTCCGACCTTGTGGCACGATAGCACGGGTTCGGGGTCTCGTGGAAACGTGACGCTCCGGGTCGCGACCCCGCTATCTCGCCTTTTAACCGCGTGTCACATCGCCGCGGCATCACTCAGCCCGCACGCTCCTGGCGCGTATCACGCACCTTCTGTTCCGACCGTGCGGAAATAACATATAAAACAGAAATCAAACATTCCAAATTAAGTCCATGGTCGGATCGACACTAGGTTGGACGTTTGTTCGAAACAGTTGAGGTGAGGTGAAGACGAAGGCAACTGTGCGTAATTCTTGACGGTTCCGAAGCGAGATCGGTGGAACAGCTGAACTGACAGGGGATCTGGTTGCAGGTACGTGAAACACCAGAGCAACAACCATGCCAAGCGCAGTGATGAACGGGAGTCGCGGAGCGGACGATGATATCGTGCTGACAGGCCTATCGGGCCGCCTACCCGAGTCCAACAGCATTGAGGAGTTCGCGCAACAGCTGTTCGATGGCGTGGACCTCGTCACCGCCGACGATAGAAGATGGACACCAGGTAAATACTATTTTAATGTGATTATAATATTTAGGTGTTAGTGTAATTTCAATACTGAATTATAAACAATTCGTTCCAAGGCATATAAACTACGATGTAACACCGATGCGCTAACTCTTCGTTTGACACACACACTACATTCAATCCCTATACTAAATATGTTATCATTTACAGTCTTTGCGGATATAACATATAATGACGAATATTATCGTTTATTAGCCGTTAAATTGAGACATAAAACATTATGTCGACATATTATGTAAAGTGACGTAAAGTGTATTTGGATGTGATGTTATTTTTGCCCGTACTGCGCAGTAGTTGCTCACTGTTTGCCATCCTAATGTCAGCATCTCAGCTGACCACGTGTGAACATGTTACACGAAAAAGACTGTAAAAGTTTGAAAGAAAATCACTCGGTCTAGAACTGTGAGGAGACTGTGGACATCAATGCTGATGATGGTGTGTTAAGCTTTAGGGCAAGTCAAGGTCAAGTGTACAATTTACCACCAACCCTTAAAGTTATCTATATAAAGCCCAACTAATCCAAATGTTCAGAAAGTATGGGTTGTTAAAAACTCTAGTAAAATTAGTAGCATGTTACGTACATAATCATGCACCTGTCATGTTAGAGAAATAGATATTTATTTAAATAACTTAGGGAGCAGATTTTCAATAATTATTATTAATTTAATAATCATTTTCTTGATTTGACTTAAACAGATAGGGTGAGCTTTTTTTTTCGTAGAAACGATCACAATAACATTTCAAATGTTGGTTCAGATTAAATCAATATAAACTCTGATTCCATTTTACACCTCTTTCATTTAAAATCTTGAGATACACGGTCGCCTCAATTTAAAAGCTTTGTCAATCAACTGTCTAAAGCTCACTAAGCACTGTATTGTAACGACTGAGTGTCGTCAGTCAGACTCAGTTAGACACTTACGATTCAGTTGTCTGTGGAGAAGAATAGACAAGATGTTTTTTTACAAGTATGTACCGTCTATGTTACGATACTATAAGCCCAATTAAATTAAATCAAAACAGAACAATATAAAGAACTATAAAGAAATATAAAGAACAATATAATATTTTGTTGCAAAATTTGAACAATCGGGAAAAGTGACTACTGTATACTACTTATAATAGCAGTCCGGAGATGATTAGTTCTAAAGGTCAATTCTCGTAATAAAATATTGTTCAAAACTTAGTTCCGATCCACACTCGATCTCACAAATATCATGAAAGGTAGTCTCGTATTCTGCTAATCGTAGTAATACTTTACGTATCTACTAGATCTAGTGTAACAAAGGTAGAGTGAGAGCGAAACACTTAGAGCTCGTGAGCAAAAGCTTCCAGATTACTGATTGTTTTTACTACAAAAGTTAACCTTTTTCCACAACAGGCAAGTCAAACAACAAAACCAAATTTATTTTTTATGCCTCAATAATGGTTTTTGTTTAAAATAATTACGGAAACTTGTTGTAATTAAAATGTGTTTCTGTGAACACGTTAGGAGCCTGCAATGTTTAATTTATTGTTCTATGTTTTCTGTGGCACGACGATCGTACCCTCAGAACCTGAACACAATCAGATCTCTGGAAAAAACATGTAAGCTTTTTGTTGCCATTGTACTCGTATAATGATTAGTTTCACACTGCGCGATGTTCAGTCGCAGTACGCGCGGCCGGTCGACGTGGTGCCACCACATGACCTCATGATAATATGCATGTCATCTGATTTTAAAGTGCCTACGTTTATATTATCAGTATAAATAAGTCAAAAGTGCAGATTTAATCTCACAGATCTGTATGATGTGCGGCTGCGTGTTAGTTGCACAACGTGAGACGTAATGTGTGTATATATGTATGTATTATCATCACAATTCATTTAACATTGAGGTGGTCAGTGCGATATTTATTTCAATATGTATCGGATTTTATAAAACATACCATGGCATATGTATGTATTTCGATCGGTTTCTCCGGTCTACTTGAATTTGTTCCAAAGTAATTCATACGAAATCCAAAAGGTACCAAAGGTAAGGTAAAGATACAATATGGTGTCTGGTTTGGTACCTTTAGAAATTCATGACGTCGTACTATTACTTGGCTTACGTATGACCCACTGATAGGTCCTAAGGGTTGACTGGGCGAGGTTGGAAGACTCATGACCAAGACCACTGTGTAATTTGAAAGGTTTTCTTCCTCGCAGCCTATACATAGTTATAAGTTCATAACCATATGATAAATCTTTGAGTCTGATCAAATTTCAATAGAGGTCATCAGCCCTGGATTTAGGGGGAGGGGGGGGGGGGGTATATCGGGGCACCTGCCCCGGGTGCAGTTTCAGCGGGCGCCAAAATCATAATACAATACCGTTATCTATAAAAACGGCAAAAAAATCGAGTTTGTTGTACGGGGCTTCCCTTAAATATGTTGTACCATTTATTTTTAAAGTGAATATATAAGTAAATATTCTGTGAATATTTGAAGCTCTCTGTCTACCTTACGTCCTGTTGCCGTTATCACTATCGAGCAACAACGAGCAAAGAAATCACGTCAGTTGTGTGGGACCCTTAAGTATTATAGTATTTGTTGTTATAGTGTCAACATAAATACATCATCTGTGAACATTTCAAGTGTTTAACTATCACGGTTCACGAGATATAGCCTGGTGCCAGAAGGTGCCATTTGTATATTGTACTTACTACCGTATAGTATTATAGCTGTGTTCTAGATAAAGTTCTTGCTTCACAACATAACAATAAAATAAATAGTTCTGGACGATGTTCAAGGTCGTGCCAGAAACCTTCCACTTCGACTGCGCACGACCTTGCCGGGTTGTAAGAGGTTTCCGTAACACCAATCTCTACAACTATCACATTTCTGACGACAAAAAATAAGTGAATACTATACGCGCATATATCCTTTGCGGCTAAAATAACAGTTGACACAACGCTCATATTATTTAAAAACCTGACCTTTCAATGAATCCTACAAATGATTATATTCAATTAATCGAACCCAATATATTAATGGATAGTTTCATATGGCCATACCAATCATTTTGCCACAGTAATGTAACGGAATTGGGCAGTCTTCTTTATATGTACTAATAGACATACTACTATTTAAGGTCTCAGCCCATACAAAACAATAACATGAACTAAATGTGTTAAAGGTTGCGCTAATCGATATTTTGCAACACTAACTCTGGCGAATAGGTCATTAGTCCATTATTGGTGATTGTACGTTCAAAATTAGACGTTACATCGCTACATCGATTTATTTACCTCATTCTATGAAAGGAGAGGCAAGTGAGAGGAAACTAAAAAGAAAAAAATATTCAAATGCTATGGTAACCTACAGAATCTGTATATTCAAATTGGACAATTCTAAAGTTAATAAGTAAAACTCATGTAGTCTAAAAAAATAATCCAGATACTATTATCAAAAATTAAATTGAAATCTGAGTAATTTTTATTATGCATATCTATTGTACGTGAACAGGTTGTAGTTACAAATTTTTTATATGTAAAACTTATATTTTGTTTTGCAACACATAATTGTACAAATTTTCCTAATAAATAACATTATCATTACACTGTCCGTTTGGTGTCGGATTAAGAATACGAAGTGTCACCACCCCAACCCTGTGGGTGTCGTAAGAGTCTACTAAGGGAGCAAACTACGCAGGGCAACAACAACACTGCAAAGAGAAGGAAAACTTGAAAAAAACCATATACCAACCAGTCTGGCCAGCGTGGTATGGAAGGCCAAAACCTCCTCTCTAAGGAGAGGCCTATGTCCAGCAGTGGACTATGGCAGGCTGTTGATGAACATTATCGTTATGGAAATAAGGAGGCTATACTAATAATAAGAATAATTATACAAATTAACTTATTACACATAGCAGGAACTGTGCTGCATATTATCATGTATGGTTTATGTATTTTGATACAATGTAGTCTAAGTCTGACTCGTCGACTGAGATGCTGTAAGGATAAATCATAAATTTCTTTGGGTTGTGTCCCTGTAATATCTGTTGTGATGCATTTATATGGACTCTGTCACCAAATGTGGCCCTAGGGCGCCCTCTGGGCAGCAGAGGTATGGTTAAGGTTGATACCATGACAAAACACTATACTCGTACATAAAAAGCCGAACCTCTAAGACGTCGCACGTTTTTTAGTTAGTTCTTTTTGTTATGATCACCAAGGTCCTTATATTATTTGCGTTTACGCTAACGTCATCCACTTATGGAATATTATGAAAATAAACGAATAATTTGTTTTGACAAATTACTGTCAGAAATATATCCATTAAAGTGGATATATGTAGAGAGACCCTCCGTAGCTGCCGGTAATGTTGGTTGGGATCCTGGGGTACGGATCGGTACCGAGCTATTAGAAATCCCAAGACTTGTATGCCTAACAGATCGAGAAAAGCTTCGCGCACTTGCTTACGATAGCTAGCTCTAGCTTTTGTTACCCGAATGCGACGAAGCCAAAAGAAAGGAAGTTTTAGACGTTGGAGCTGTAGTGGGTTATCAAAGTGTGTTACTAATATACCTTATCTATCTTACCTTATCTATCTATAATACCTTGTCTATCGCCCATCATCATCATCATCAATAGAAATAGGTTTTGGCCTACTATACCACGCTGGCCAGACGGATTCGTATAGGGTTTGCGCACTTATTCGGCTCTTATGACACGGGATGAATACACAGGTGATGACTGGTAACACTGCATATTCTTAATCCGTGTGGTGACGGATTAAGAATATGCAGTGTCAGTGTAAATGAGAAACTATTCTATATCTATGTAAGTATGTATTCGTCATAATATCCAAATCTCTAAGCAGTCCTCAATATTATGTGGTTACTGTACTATTATTCACGGGTGGTTAACTGCGCTATAATATCCGATGATTTTATGTTATTTTCTGTTTAGGTGTCGAGTACAAGCGTGATAAGTACAACTGATAATAAATTTATTGGTTAGATTGCCCATAAACGTAGTTACTAATAGCAGCAGGCGATTCAATTGCACAAACAAAACTATTGTGGAAATAAAGTAAAAATCTCCGAGTTGCGTGCACTGCTTCCGATAGTCATCGCCCTGCTTCTGTCCTAAACTATATATGAGTATCGTTTATCATCACTTTTTTAGGTATCGCATCACCACATCGGATCAGATAACGCACTCAAAACATTGTTTCAACTTCGTCATTGTGCCATGTCGGTGGCGCAGAGCGGCCCCATGGCGAAGTTGAAGCGTACCGTACTACAGCCGACGAGTGAGAGGGCATTTTTTCGTCTGAACTGTTAAATAGAACCTCTCAAAGTAAAAGACATTATTTAAAAAAAAAAACATTACGCAGAATTTGGGACATTAAACAGTAAAATTCCGAACAAATAAAATATTTTTATTTATTGACTGTGTTTTTAGGGCATAAATTTGGGTAACTTGGCAAGCCTAAAATTCATTCAAAGTTTCACACACAAAGAACTGCCACCATTATGATGCCTCAGTTTTGTTTTAGCGGGAGTTCCGTCCGATTTTTTTTACAACTAATAGTATACTAGGAATTTACATTGATTTTTCTAATTGTTATTATGATTTCTAATTGTTAAATAATCGTTATTATTATTATCATCGAAGCTTCTCGATTATACAAAGAATTAAATGATCCTCTTTAAAATGTACTTAACACTACGGAGTGCAGGCCCATTTATGTTATGTTACATAAGTATAAATGTGATACACGCACAGCGCTTGTGAGAGCACTATCAGAACTGTTATCTTCTTCTTCTTTTAAACATACTCTATCTACTGTATAGTAACGCGTAATTTGTTATCTTACGTCGGATGATTACATCAGTAATCCATATGAAGTATATGGCCTTCAGTAAATAACATTCAAAGTAAAGTCAAATTTCAAGTGTGCATTTAAAACCGTGTCAAACAAAATCGCTCGCATGCCGCTACAATCAGTTGATTGGTGACGTGTTCAGAGTTAGGAGTATCAACTCGTCGTTGGACGAACTTGGTTTGGACAATGGTAGACATCGACTCAAGATAGGCTCCACATGTGGCACGCGTCATTCGCGGCGGTAAGACCCGTTATGGAGGATTGGCTCGAGAGGCGTCACGGGACCCTCTCATACCGACTGCCGCAGGTGATCACTGGGAAAGGATGTTTCGGGGATCACCTGTGTCTGATCCGCAAGGAGCCAACGCCTGAGTGCCACCAATGCGATAGCCAGACCGTGGACACGGCTCTCCACACGCTGGCAGAGTGCCCGGCGTGGGTTGAGCAGAGGCGAGACCTCGTGGCGGCCATCGGAGTGGGAGTTCTCTCGCTCGATAGCCTGATTGCGGCTATCGTGCGGAGAGAGAGTGCGTGGAACTCTGCCGTCTCCTTCTGAGAGCAAGTTATGCTCGCGAAGGAGACGGCGGAGCGAGACCGGGAGAGGTTTAGAACTCTCCCGGCCCGCCAGGCCCGGGAACGGGCCAGGTACTGCAGGCGACTCAGGCGCCGTAGGTCGCAGAACGACCTCCGTCCTCCATAAGCGCAGGCCTGGGGGTGACAGGTGAGGCCATCTGTCACTCTAGCAGAAGCAGGCCGGGGTGGCGGCGAGCGCGTTGCGAAGCGCGCTCGCTTCCACCCATGGGAACCCCATGTTCCCTGTGCTCCCTGCACAGGGAACATGGGGTTCCCACACGGGGGGGGGGTCGTCTACTCGTCTGTAGATGGCCCGAGGTATGTGGGGGCAGCAGGGACTTCCTTTCTAGGGTATACCTGGTTCCCCGGCTATTAGTACCCGAGACGGCGTGCGGTTTTAGTCGGTTCGAGTCCGACATGCCACCGTGCCACTTGGTATCCGAGGGAATTTCCGCACGAAAAAAAAAAAGGGTTCACGCGTCATGTTAGAACTCATTACCTATTGATTGTATTGTATCTGTGTACGCGGCGCGATCAATACTCAGCCTCACTAGTAAAGGGCTTCGCAGAACACTGTGAAACAGCCTCTAGCCATTGTTTGATGTTTAAAAGTAATATAAACATCCGATCATATTAGATAGGTTGCTGAATTGAGTGTATGAAAATAGATTTTTGATTCATAATCCATAAAGACATTCTGCCAGGGTCAGATACAACGTGTCCATTTACTTGATTACTTATAATAAAACGGAAAGTACAAACATATTTTATCAATCAATGTACGATCACTAACTGGATTGGTAGTTAAACACAACATATCTACAAGGCGAATATAAATGAATACATAATGTATATTATAATTAGTTGCCCTTGGCCTGACCTAAGAGTAAAAGTTAGATGGGTCCCACCTTATCTGTCCTTGATACAGTTTGTGTGATTAATCGAATTAAATCGTTGCTAGGAGTCGCATTTTAGCGGTTATTATTATTACAAATACCTAAACAATACATGTACATAATTATTATTATTTTGTTCAGGTATTGAACATAATTCCAAATGATGGTTTTTTTAGCAGGTCCTAAATATGAAGTTGTTCGTTTTGGATGGAGGGGAAACGTCTTACAGCACATATAAAGGAATAATTCCAAAAATAAAAAAAGTTGAAAATTAAGATAAATTTTGGTACTTACAAATTTTCGCGAAAATCGAAATTTGCCCATATCTTTTTATCATGTTGACTTAGGACCTTGATTTTTATACACCTAATAGGGACCATAGACCTTAGTATCTGCTATAAATTTGAACTTGCTAGGTCTACTGGTTCCTGAGAAAATCGGTGGTGACACACGGACAGACGGACCAGAAAGTGATCTTATAAGGGTTCCTTTTTTACCTTTTGAGGTACGGAACCCTAAAAAGGTTACTAATTCTTCTAAAAGCATATCTGTAACTGCAGGATCAATCCATCAATTGACGGGCCTGTTAGTCTAGTGGTTAGTGACTCTGACTGCTAAGTCAGAGGGCGTGGGTTCTATTCCCACCTAGGTCAAATATTGTGTGATGAGCACGGTCATTTGTTCTGCGACTGGGTGTAATTTATCTATAATATCTCTGTATTTAGAAATATAGAAGTATGTTTATCAGCAGGCTGGTTACCGTAGTATAGGTTCTGCCTAGTTTGGGATCAGACGGCCGTGTGGGAGATGTGTGAGATATTATTATTATCTTTTTTTAACTAACTAACTTTTTTTAACTTAAATTTTCTCATATATTATACATGTTTGATCTTAGAATCCGGGCAGGTGGTATGATCTCAGATTTGGTTTTCTAGGTCCATGAACTTCTTTTTCACTGGTTTAAAGCTACTTTTGAATAAAATCTTGCAAAAGTTGGGATTATTCAAGGTGAAGCATGATAATGAACTATCGCGTGAAACTAATGAAAAAAAGTTGTCTTTAACAAAATAATTAAGTGTAACACATGATTTCTTACTGTTTGTGTGTCTATGTCTTTATAGTATATTTTATTTGTTAAAATCCATAATTGGGAATTGAATATTTCGATTTTATAGTAATATCATAGCGCCTACATAACAAAAATGAGTGCGCAAGAAAACTTTTTAATTTCGAAAATGCGCAAAATTCTATCGCTAATTTCATCAGTTCATTACCAATCAACACTTGGTGGATAAAATAAAAGATAGTTGTAAAGGTTGAGCTGATGGACAGCAGGCAGCATTTACAAATACAGTCAGCTCCATTAGTCAATTGTGGTGCGAATGGATGAGTAGTTAAACGGCACGCCGCCTGGTCATAATCGGCGGCCTTTCACCGTTACGTCGGTCCCGAAGCCGGGCCGGGCACGTCCGCTGCGCGCGCTCTCGCCGCCCGGTCTAGCCGGCGCCGGCTGGTGGCTGGCGCGTCTGGTGGCTGGTGGCGTGATACTCGGTGCGTCATCGATCGCGCTACTTATCTGACGCTTACAAAGAACACATTCGCCAAACTCGTTACCTATGATGTCATTCTCGCGGCAAAATAGTAAACATTCATAATGTGTACCATCATTATCGACACTGACGTCACTGACTCGCCCTACATTGACAGACGCCGCAGTTTGATAACATACTTAAGTCATTTATATTTTTCTCACATCAATCGAACCATAATACGAGATAGTATCGACTAGTCTAAGCGTGGGTAGAAAATGCTAGTTTGTAGATATACTTTTTCAATGATGATTGTTGTCCTGCAGGATTACACGGCTTGCCGGAGCGAAACGGAAAGCTGAAGGACTTGGCACATTTCGATGCTACTTTCTTTGGGGTGCATCCGAAGCAGGCGCACCTACTAGATCCGCAGCTGCGCCTGCTGTTGGAGTTGACACACGAGACCCTGGTAGACGCCGGCTACAACCCTGCGGAACTTCGCGGCTCGCGCACCGGTGTATACGTCGGCGTTTCCAACTCCGAAACCGAAGAAATGTGGACATCGGACCCGGATAAGATCAACGGTTACGCGCTCACCGGATGCTGTCGCGCCATGTTCCCCAACAGAGTGTCCTACACGTTCGATTTGAAGGGTCCATCGTTCGCGGTGGATACTGCGTGCTCCAGCTCCATGTTCGCGCTGACGCAGGCTGCTGCGGCCATCCGCGAGGGACACTGCGACGCCGCAATCGTGGCCGGCACCAACCTCTGTCTCAAGCCCGCCACCTCGCTGAGCTTCCACCGCCTCAGCATGCTGTCGCCGGAGGGGCGCTGCGCCGCGTTCGACGCGAGCGGGCGCGGCTACGTTCGCTCGGAGGCGGCGGTGGCCGTGCTGCTGCAGCGGCGCAGCGCCGCGCGCCGTCTGTACGCCACACTGCGCGGCGCGCGCATCAACGTGGACGGCTACAAGGACCAGGGCATCACGTTTCCTTCCGGTGACATGCAGCGCCGACTCGCCGAGGAGACCTTTGCCGAGGCGCGCCTGCGGCCCAGCGACGTTGCGTATGTCGAAGCTCACGGCACCGGCACCAAGGTACGCGACACTACTAATCTATCACTATATTAAAGTCACACAGTCAATAATGCTCATAAGAGATCTTTGCGTTTTCATAATTCATCTTATTATTAAATTATTCACTTTGTTTTGAAGGTGGGCGACCCGCAGGAGGTAAACGCTATTGCAGATTTCTTTTGTCCGGGGCGCAAGAGCCCGCTGCTACTGGGTTCGGTTAAGTCCAACATGGGCCACTCGGAGCCGGCCTCCGGCCTGTGCTCAATCGCTAAAGTTCTGGTGGCCATGGAGCGCGGCGTCATCCCCCAGAACCTACATTACAAAACACCCAACCTCGATATTCCGGCGCTCAGTGACGGCAGGATAAAGGTAAACTTTTAAAATGTACACACAAAATTAAATTAATGTACCTGTGAATTAAACTGAGTCTGATGACGCGGAGCTCGCGCTTTCTGAAACACCCTGGTGCAAATCAAATATTGTGATTGATAGGTATTTCTTTCACTTTTTTCAACTAGTATTTTTATAGGCTAGTACAAAAACAATCCAAAATTATTCATAAAACATTGTTAACTCATGTAAGGGGTAAGATTTTGATGTATTTTGTAATATTAGCTATAGTTATTTCGTATATAGGTGGTGGATCAAAACACGCCGTGGGATGGTGGGCTGGTGGCTATCAACTCGTTCGGGTTCGGCGGTGCCAACGCACACCTCATTCTGGAATCACAACGGGCGCCCGTCGCCCGCAGTACGAGCGCGAGCGGTCCGCCGCGCCTAGTCCTGGCATCCGGCCGCCATGAGGAGGCCGTGCGGCACTTGCTTTCTCTGGCCGCCACACACAAGGACAACGCCGACTTGCACGCGCTGATGGACGCCATCCACCGGCACAACGTCGTAGGCCATCCATATCGCGGCTTTACCGTTCTCACCGACCCCCCTGTGGAGGAATGTGTTGTGAGTGCTCTGACTAACGAGTTGCGTTATAGGTATGATGGGCACTGGTCGATTAAAACTTTCACCTTCAAATTACCTTCGCAGGAAATGGAAAGTGGCGAGCCGCGTCCTATCTGGTTCGTCTTCTCCGGCATGGGGTCTCAATGGCCGGGCATGGCGAGAACGCTCATGCAACTACCGGTGTTCGCGGCTAGCATAAACCGTTCGGCCGCAGCGCTACGGCCCTATAAAATCGATCTCCTAAATATCGTCACCGAGGCCCCGAGCTCGGCGTTCGACGACGTCATCAATTCGTTCGTGTCCATCGCCGCGGTGCAAGTGGCGCTGGTGGACGTACTCCGAGCCCTCGAGATCCGTCCCGACGGTATCGTGGGACACTCCGTGGGCGAGATAGGTATGTAGGAGCGCTTCGTTCGCTCCCCTCAATTAGACTGTCGATCGGATCGAAACTGACGGGTGTCAAACGCTGTAACAGGTTGCGCGTACGCGGACGAAACCCTGACGGCGGAGCAGGCGGTGTTGGCGGCGTACTGGCGGGGCCGCAGCATCGTGGACGCCAAGCTATCCCCCGGTGCCATGGCCGCAGTGGGCCTGTCGTGGGAGGAGTGCGAGGCGCGATGCCCGCCCGACGTGGTGCCGGCGTGTCACAACGCCGCCGACAGCGTGACGGTGTCGGGCCCCGTGCCCTCCGTCGAAAAGTTCGTGGCGGAGCTGTCGAGCCAGGGCGTGTTCGCGCGTAGCGTCAACAGTTCCGGCGTGGCGTTCCACAGCAAGTACATCGCTACCGCTGCGCCGCTGCTGCGCAAGAGCCTAGAGCGCGTCATTCCCGATCCCAAGCCGCGCAGCGAGCGCTGGATCTCCTCCTCGCTGCCCAAGGACAAGTGGAACTCCGACATCGGTGAGTCGCCGTCGCCATCGTCGACGACGTCGGAGTCCTCCGACCGAAAGTGACACGTGACCTTTCGACCGACAGCGAAGCTGAGCGACGCCAACTACCACGTGAACAACCTGCTGTCGCCGGTGCGCTTCGCGGACGCGCTGCGCGAGGTGCCCGCGCGCGCCGTGGTGGTGGAGGTGGCGCCGCACGCGCTGCTGCAGGCCGTGCTGAAGCGCGCGCTGCCCGCGCCGGGCGCCGCGCACGTGGCGCTGGTGCGGCGCGACGCGGCCGACGCGCTCGTGCACCTGCTGAGCGGCGTGGGGCGCCTGCACGCGGCGGGCGCGCAGCCGGCCGTGGCGCGCCTGTACCCGCCCGTGGCCTTCCCCGTGGCGCGCGGCACGCCGGGGCTGGCCTCGCACGTGCTGTGGGACCACTCGCAGGAGTGGGACGTGGCGCACTTCGGCGCGGCTCGCTCGGGCGAGAACGTCATCGAGTACGACATGTCGCGCGCCGACGACGCCTTCATCGCCGGACACAACATCGACGGCCGCGTGCTTTTCCCGGCCACCGGATACCTGGTACGTTCGGGAAGATTAAAGAAAATATTATTAAACGGCAAACATAGCAGACGTAGACATATTTTTATTCAAAATATAAACGACAGCAGTAAATAATATAAAAAAATCTCTAGCCCTACTGCTCAACTACACTTGTACTAACGTTAATTTTTTTTTTCATTCACTCGTTATTTATTTTTATTTGTGAATAATTTGTTGCAGACTCTCGTGTGGAGGACGATGGCAAAATTAAACAACAGAAAGCCGGAGGACACGCCAATAGTATTGGAGCACGTGCAGTTCCGCCGCGCCACCATCGTGTCGCGCGACGCTCCCGTTAGGTTCCTGATAAACGTACTGGACGGCACCGGCGAGTTCGACGTGTGCGAGGGCGGCGCCGTCGTCGTCACGGGCTTCGTGCGACTCGCGGACGACCCGCGGGCCGAGCGCCTGAGCGACCTGGAACAGCCGCGCCCCGAGCCCGAGCCCGGCCTGCTGCCCCTCAACACCGACGACATTTACAAGGAGTTGCGCCTGCGCGGCTATAACTACGGCGGTATTTTCCGCGGTATCCGCTCGTCCGATCCCCGCGGTACCGCCGGAGAGCTCGCCTGGGACGACAACTGGATCTCCTTCATGGATACCATGCTTCAGTTCGGCATCATCGGTGTGGACACGCGCGAACTATATCTCCCGACGCGGCTGCAGCGGGCGCTCATCGATCCGCAGGCGCAGTTGGCGGCGGTGGCCACGCTCGGCGAGGGCGAGCACGTGCCCGTGCGCATGTTCCGGGACATCGACGTCATCAGCGCGGGCGGCATCGAGCTGCGCGGCGTTAAGACCAGCCTGGCCCCGCGCCGCGCTAACGCACAGGCGGCGCCTACGCTCGAAAAGTACGTGTTCATGCCGTACGATAACGCCACCGTGGCCACAGAGGACACGTCGCGCTCCAAACGCGACGCCATGACCGTGAGTCTACAGCTGGTACTGGAGAACACCGGTGCGCTCAAGCTAAAAGTGGCCGAGGCCGCGATAGACCGCTCACCCGAGGCGCTGCTCACTCCGTTGGCTCTGCAGATTCTGGACTCACAGCCGATGGTGCGCGTGGACGCCACGCTCGCCGCGGGACCGACGCCGGCTCCCTACGCCGCCGTCGTTAAGGATCTGGGCATCAAAGTGGTGGCTAAGGACGCTCGCACGACGGTGGTGGAGACTGACTGTCATCTGGTGATGGCCGCCGACGTGCTCGCTCGCCACGGGGCCGGCGCGCTGAGCGCACTGGCGGGTTCGCTGGCCGCGGGAGGCATGCTGCTTCTGGAGGAGCCGCACAAGGCTTTGGACGAGCGCGCCGCGCGTGACGCTCTCGACCGTGCCGGTCTGGCGCTGGTCTCGCGCCAGGTGGCCGCCAACTGCGAGTACCTGCTGCTGCGTCACCGCGTTCGCGTGCCCGAGCGCCACGTCGTAATCGACGTGGCCGACGACACCGCCTTCGGATGGGTGGACGCGTTACGCGAAGCCATGGCGCTCGCCGAGAACGAAGATATGCGTCTGTACGTGGTAGCGCGCACCGCGCATAGCGGGGTGCTGGGGCTAGCCACGTGTCTGAGAGGCGAGCCGGGCGGCCATGCGCTGCGAGTGTACTACCTGCCTAACGCCAAGGAACCCTTCAGCCCCTCGGCGGCTCCGTACGCGGAGCAAGCGGCTCGGGACCTGGCCGTGAACGTGCTGCGCTCTCGTGTATGGGGTAGCTACCGCCACATGCCGTTAAGCGATGCGGGCGCGGCCCAGCTGCAGGTGGAGCACGCGTACGTAAACACGCTGACGCGCGGCGACCTGGCGTCGCTGCGCTGGATCGAGGCGCCGCTGCGCTACGCGCGCGAGCGCGACCTGCCGCCGCGCACGGACCTGTGCAGCGTGTACTGCGCGCCGCTCAACTTCCGCGACATCATGCTGGCCACCGGCAAGCTGCCGCCCGACGCGCTGCCCGGCAACCTCGCCGGACAGGTAATTGTCTTATATCACTTCAGATTCAATCGCTCCACCCTTATATTCCATAATAACTAACTTTATGAAAGAAAAGAATTTTGGATGTAAAACCCTATTATTTAAAAAGTACTACGTGTTTTTCAACAACAACTGATATTTTCAGGAGTGTATTCTCGGCCTGGAGTTCAGCGGTCGCGCGTCAAACGGGCGTCGCGTGATGGGTATGGTAGCCGCGTGCGGGCTGGCCAGCACGGTGCTGGCGGACGAGGGCTTTCTGTGGGACGTACCGGCCGAGTGGTCGCTGGAGGAGGCCTCCACCGTGCCAGTGGCGTACTCCACGGCCTACTACGCGCTAGCGGTGCGCGGGCGCATGCGACGCGGTGAATCGGTGCTGGTGCACGCGGGCACGGGCGGCGTAGGGCAGGCCGCCATTAGCATCGCGTTGGCCGCGGGCTGCACTGTGTTCACGACCGTGGGTACTCCCGACAAGCGCGCATTCCTGCGCGAACGCTTCCCCCGACTGGCGCCTGAAAACATCGGCAACTCGCGTGACACCTCCTTCGAGCAGCTCGTCAAGCGCCGCACCCGGGGCCGCGGCGTGGACCTCGTGCTCAACTCGCTCGCCGCCGACAAGCTGCACGCCTCCGTGCGCTGCCTGGCCGAGGGCGGACGCTTCCTGGAGATCGGCAAGCTCGACCTGTCCAACGACACCGCTCTGGTCGGTATCTGTACTTCGCCCTCAATAGTACATTCGTTTATTTACTGAATGGTACTGAACGTTGCGTGCGTTCGTTGCAGGGTATGTCGATCTTTTTGAAGAACACCACCTTCCACGGTATCCTGTTGGATGCTCTGTTCGACGCCGGTGACGACAACAGCGAGAAGAAAGAAGTGGTCCGCTGCGTCACAGAGGGGATGAAGAGCGGCGCCGTCAGGCCTCTACCGGCCACCGTCTTCTCGGATCATCAGCTCGAGCAGGCTTTCAGGTGAGCTTTTATTGCAATTATTATACATGGTCGGTTAAGATTCATCTGTAAACGTATTATTATATTAACGAGGATTCGAGCGAAAGTTAATCTTTCGACCGTTGCAGGTATATGGCGACGGGCAAGCACATCGGTAAAGTGGTGCTGCGCGTGCGCGACGAGGAGGCTGCTGGCGCTCGACCCGGCGCGAAACTCGTGTCCGCGATCCCCCGCACCTACATGCATCCGGCCAAGTCCTACGTGCTCGTCGGTCAGTACGCTCGTTCCGAACTCACGTTTAGCTCCGAGTGACGTAACGTAACGAGTAAAATCCATAATTTCCCACAGGCGGTCTCGGAGGCTTCGGTCTAGAATTGGCTCAGTGGATGGTGAAGCGCGGCGCGACTAAGATCCTGCTGAACTCTCGCAGCGGCGTGCGGACCGGCTACCAGGCGTGGTGCATCCGCAGGTGGCGCGAGGCGGGCGTGGCGGTGGGCGTGTCCACGGCCGACTGCACGTCGCCGGGCGGCGCACGCGCACTGCTGCGCGAGGCGGCGGCGCTGGGGCCCGTGGGCGGCGTCTTCAACCTCGCCGCGGTGCTGCGCGACGCCTTCCTCGACAAGCAGACCGCCGCGGACTTCCAGGCCGTCGGCAAACCCAAGATCGACGGTGAGCGGATATTACATCGCAACTTTTGACGGAGCGTTTGTGTAGTGTGGCGCTTTAAAATTTCATCCGTTCTCATTTGACTATGTAAACTATTGTATTTTTACGACACGGGATCGGGGGAGAACGCCTGATTGTGTGAAGTTTTAATATAAATAAACTGGCGCTTCGAAAGGGATCTGTACGTAATATATACATTACGGCGACAGGTACGAAAATGTTGGACGCGGCGACGCGCGAACTGGCTCCGGAGTTGGAGTACTTCGTGGCCTTCTCGTCGGTGTCCTGCGGCCGCGGCAACCCCGGCCAGAGCAACTACGGCCTCGCCAACTCCGTCATGGAGCGCATCTGCGAGCAGCGGCAAGCCGACGGCCTGCCCGGCCTCGCCGTGCAGTGGGGAGCCATAGGTACCGATACTTTAGTAACTTACCGACCGGTGCCCTCTCTCTAATGTAAATATTGAGTGATGATCTCGAACGAGGATTGAACGTCGCCAGGTGAAGTGGGGCTGATCGTGGACACGATGGGCGGGGACGAGACGGTGGTGGGCGGCACGGTGCCGCAGCGCATCTCGTCGTGCATGGAGGCGCTGGGCGCGCTGCTGGCGCTGCCGCACGCGGTGGGCGCGTCGCTGGTGCTGGCCGACAAGCGCCGAGCGGCCGCCGCGCCCACGCAGGACCTCGTGCACGCCGTCGCCAACATCCTCGGTCAGTTTCACTGTCATACTCCATGTACTCCTTACTTCTGAAAGACCACTGTCGGTCTAGTGGTTAGCTAGCCTGACTGACACCCACGACAAATACTAAACAAACTAATATTTTATCCGGCTGTACACAAACTACAGTCATATATGCTCAATTTACTACATTAAATATAACATCCTCACACTACCATCATTATACATATTTGACATCTGCATATTTGTATCCAAGAACATGAGTCACTTCGCGAGAGTAAAAGACAATCACAATTTAAACACACGCCACAGAGACAGACTATACCTACCACCATCAAGAATTAAAATGCTACACCAGAGCCCTTACTACATGGCTGTAAAAATATACAACAAATTACCTATCCACATAAAAAATGAAACGAAGACTACACTATTCATTAAAAAACTAAAAGCATTCTTAATTACAAAATGTTTCTATTCTGTTAAAGAATACATTGAGGAAAAAAACACTTAACAAACTACATTTCTTATTACACGGAAAACAGAAAGCATATACCTAAGTACAAGTCATAAAAAGAAAAATCGGTCGTGATGCTCGGAAATGCTAGGGACAGTAGGAAAATGTGTATATGTATTAGTGATGTAGAATGTCGGGTGCCTTCGTATTTTTGCATGCTTTATTCGATTGTTATACTGTACTATTGAGTCACTTAATTTGTATTGTTCAAAAAATGCTTGTACTTGTGTAACAATTTATTCTTCTGCGTTCTCTCTCAAATTTTTGCAATGCCTGGAAAAGGCTTCTGAGTTGGGACTACTACATATAATATTATAAGATCATTGATGTACACTTGGTTGGCAAATAAAGATTTGATTTGATTTGATTTGATTTGAACTAAAATAAATATGCTTAACTCTATTGTCATTTTTATAAAGATTAAACATTACGTAATAATATTCACTACGTTTAAAAATAACCGGAGACGTTTAAAAAAAAATACTAGATCCGCATTCGCAATAGACTTCATCGTTCACTTTATTTCACAGTTTTTATTAAATCCATAGTAAATAAGGTGTTGTTTAATAACATAGGTATTAAGGACCCAAGCAAAGTATCAGACTCGGCCAACCTCGCGGAGTTGGGCATGGACTCGTTGATGGGCGCCGAGATCAAGCAGACATTGGAACGAGGGTACGACGTGGTGCTCGGAGTGGGAGAGATCAGGGCGTTGACGTTTGCGAAATTGCGTGGCATGGCCGGCGGGGAGGAGAGCGCCCCCTCTACCGAAGTTCCCGCCACCGACGCTCCCACGGATCTGGTGCAGTTCGCGACCGTAGGAGAGCTCGTGCCTAAGCAGGTGATCGTCAAGCTGCCCAGCGCCGCGAAGGCCGACGCCAACATAAAACCCGTATTTATGGTGAGTGATAGCGCTGACTAATGTTTTGTATACAGAAGTTCTTCTAAGTTACGAGTCTATAACGTTACGTACCTTTCATCGTATCGATATTTTAAGTCAGTGAGCCGTTTAGCGTTTAAAGTTATTCATATAAAGCGAGCATCGATACCAAAAAACGAAGGTAGTAATTTTAATAAAAGAAAGACTTTAACTTTAGACGCTTTCAAAACTTCCAAAGAAATCGATCGGATACCTTTTTAACGAGATCGAAAATAATAACGATTAGTTGTTAGAGGTACTGGCCACTAGGTGGGTCGGTTACCGGTGTCGGGTGTGAGTAGTGACCGGAGCGTGTCGGCAGGTGCACCCCATCGAGGGCGTGGTGGAGCTGCTGCGCGGCGTGGCGGGCGGCGTGCGCGCGCCCGTGTACGGGCTGCAGTGCACGGCGGGCGCGCCGCTGGGCAGCATGGCCGAGCTGGCCGCCTTCTACGTCACGCACGTGCGCTCGCTGCAGCCGCAGCCGCCCTACACGCTCATGGGCTACTCGTTCGGCGCGGGCGTCGCCTTCGAGATGGCGCTGCAGCTCGAGAAGGTGAGTGGACGACGCCGCGGCGCGTCCGTCCGGCGCGGGGCTCGAGTGTCTAACCGAGCGTCTGTCCGCAGGCGGGCTGCGAGACGCGGCTGGTGCTGGTGGACGGCTCGCCGGCCTACCTCGCCACGCACACCACGCGCGGCAAGAAGAAGCGCGCCACGCGCACTCAGACCACCGACGAGGCCGACGCGCTCGCCTACTTCGTGCAGCTGTTCAAGGAGCTCGACCCGGCCAAGGTGAGTCTCGTCGTTGACCATAATCGTCTGGAATACTTGGCACTGCTGAAGAGCGAGAGGGTGTCTAATAGCTTTACAAAGTTACAACGTTACGTGATTAAGGTCGTATCGCATTCATGGTGGAAATTATGTCGAATTCTGACAAGCTTTGAGACTAAAATAAAAATCAGACAAATTCGCAAGCAAAAGCTAAAAAGTATAAATTAAAGAATTGATAATCTCACGAATTAATATTTCCCTTGTTTAAACTCAACCACTTTTACACAAATACACAAAATATCAACTTATAAAAACAGCATGGGTAGCTAAGCTTCGGCTATCACAACCGAGACGCGGCCGTCCATCTCAAGCACCTCATCATTTGTTAGATTCTATGTTCGTTTTGTAATTGAAGGCGACGGTACTGATTCTCTTTTATTGTTTGTAGCATTGAAGTATATTCTATGTACATATTATTATATATAGTATAGCATATTAAAACAATAAAAAAACCCGCAATCCGCTCGAAGGTCAGTATGGAATGTATTCGTTGCGCATTGCCCACCGACCAACTTTGAATAGGGCATGCATATTGCTTTTAGCATATTTTTAATACTGTAATCAGTACATAGAAAAGTACATAATAAGAACAAATGATTATTTTTACCTATTTTACTCGAATTAATAATATTAAAGTGGTAAAATGTGTGTTCCCTCCCTCCCCCCTGTAACTTAAAAAGAAAAAATGATGTATATTACCATACCATTGGTTTTATGGTTAAAAAATATTTAGAAAGAAACATAGAAGAGTTTAAGGGCATATCAGAGAGAATAGCTGTACTTAATATACATCTGCCAGCGTACAAAAATAAATGGTCGATTATTCAAGTTTATGCTCCCACTGAACAGCACGATGAATCGGCCAAAGACCTCTTCTACGACCAATTGTCATCAGTCTTACAAGAAACGCACAAGAACGTTAGGGTAATAGGAGATTTTAATGGCAGAATAGGAACTCAGCTAATTGGAGAAGAAAATGTAATTGGCAAATTCGGTTTTGGCAGAAGAAGCAAAAATGGAGAGAGGATGATTAACATGGCTTTTGAAAACAACCTCGCATTTATGAATAGCTACTTCAACAAAAATACAAAGAAAAAATGGACATGGCAATCTCCAGATGGATCATACAAAAATGAAATAGATTATATAGCAGCTAACAACAGAAAAAAAATTCAGAACGTAAACATCCTTAGCCAATTTAATTTTAACACCAACCATAGAATGGTCAGAGCAGTAATAAATAGAACGGAACCGAAAAAAAGCAGAAACAAATATAACGTAACAACTAGTATTACAAAACATCAAATAGAGGCAAAAGACAAGATAGTAGAAAATTATGATAAGGAAATACCTTTTCATTTTACCTTTCATTCAATCAACTCAAATATAAAAAAAAGAACATTTAATTTCATAGACATAAACCTTATGCATAAACCGCGAAGCATTATTTCCTAATAATAAATCTGTACTGCCTAAGCAAATAATACTGTGCTGATTAAGGATGTCGAGTTGGACCTTGTGGACACTACGACATTTTTAGGTATAACACTAGATTCTAAGCTACAGTGGGGCCCACATATTGATAAATTATCGATTAGACTTAGCAGCATACGCAGTAAGAAAAAATTCGAGAGTTGACTGATGTTGATACAGCGCGACTTGTTTACTTCAGTTGTTTTCATGTCGTACGGTATTCTGCTGTGAGAGAATGCTGCCGACATTCAAACTATTTTTGTACTGCAGAAGAGAGCGATTCGAGCACTTTGTAATTTAGGCAATCGTTGTTCATTGAGGCAGAAATTTAAAGAAATAAACATAATGACAGTGGCAAGTCAATATATTTATGAAAATGCAATACAAGTTCATAAAAACAAAGATGGTTTTTTGAAAAGAAGTGACGTACATTCTATAAATACCAGAAATAGAAACAAACTTGTAGTACCCGCCTCTAGGCTCCAAAAGATAAACAAGTCTCTTCGAGGTCAGTGTGTCGGATTTTATAATAAAATCCCATATAATATTCAAGACTTAGGTATCATCATCACATCATCATCAATCATCATAATTATTATTTTTGACTATTTGACAAAACAGAGATTGTTGCTATTGCGTGTGTTGATCTATGATTTTAGTCTACATAAAAGGCGTTTTCAAACAATTTTAATAATTTCATGAAGTAAAGATAGTTAGAGTTATGTGTTTGTGTTGGAACAGAACAGAACAGAGATTTGTGCACAAGAAAGTAATAAATGCGATTACAAAACATTTAGACAAAAAATATTTATTAAGCAATTATTTTCATGTTAATTACCTCAAAACTCGTTCATTTGACGGGCCTGTTCGTCTAGTGGTTAGTGACCCTGACTGCTAAGCCGGAGGTCGTGGGTTCGATTCCCATCTAGTACAAATATTGTGTGATGAGCAAGGTCATTTTTTCTTTGTCTGGGTGTAATTTATCTACAATATGTATGTATTTAAAAATATATAAGTATGTTTATCATCAGTCTGGTTAACGTAGCCCAGGCTCTGCCTAGTTTGACGGCCGTGTGTGAGATGTGTGAGGTATGTTGTTATTATTTATAAAAATAATTGAAAAAATCTTTTTTTTTTTTTGGAAGGGTATACTTCCCCTTTGGTTGTATTCAAATGTGGAAAATTAAGGAATAGGGAAACAATACATTTTTGAATTCAATTTAACATAAACTAAATAAATAATAAACCTAATACAGTCTAACATACTACAGTTTCGTAATATAAACATTACAGTACGTAGTGTATTATAAAGTATTTATTTATTGTTTGAAATCGATTAAAAACCATTCATTCAACGATGTATAATTATGCAGTTATCGGATCGAGAATGAACGCGATCGATAGACATTAAATATTTATGAACGCGTAATATCTATCGATCGAGTTAACAGTCGAGTCGGCCGGTCGGTACGGTAACGGTAACGCGTCCGCAGGTGTCGGCGGAGCTGGAGCGCCTGCCCAGCTGGGAGGCGCGCCTGGCGCGCACCACGGCGCTCGTGGGCGAGGCGGCGGGAGCGCACGCGCCCGACCTGGGCGCGGCCGCCGAGGCCTTCTACCGCAAGCTCGTGGTGGCCGACTCGTACCGGCCCGAGGCCCGCCTGCGCGCGCCCGTGGCGCTGTTCACGGCGCGCGACAACTACGTGACGCTGGGCGAGGACTACGGGCTGCGCGAGGTGTGCGCGGGCGCGCTGAGCACGCGCCAGCTGGCCGGCACGCACCGCAGCATCCTGGCGGGCGACGCGGCCGCCGCCATCGCCGCGCACCTGTCGGCGCTGCAGGCGCAGTAGCGCCGCCGCCCGCGCCGCTCCCGGCGCCGCGCGCGCCGCTAGCGCCGCGCCGCAGACTGTGCGTGAGGACGTGTCACCCGACTCTATTTATTGTCCGTGCGTTGGAGGGCCGAGCCCGGCTCGCGCGCCCCGAGTGCTCGCGAGTGCGACGTGGGTCGCGGTCCTCTAGACCCCGCGCCGAGTGTGGCCGTGCCGCCCGAGGGCTCCGACGGGGTCTAGTGCGGCCGATGATCTGTGACGAGTAGAGATCTGTCGAGCGAGTTTCGTTAATCGGTAACGGTTTATTTAGAATAAGAGATTACGTGTAACTCTATCGGTAACTCCATTTCTACGCATTCGGTGTAGTCGATAAGGTACGAGTATATCGTGTAAAATAGTAGTATATCGAGTAGTGTTAAGTAGACGCAGGCGCGCCCGGCGCGCCTCAGTGCGCGGTAGTTAGTACCAGTGTATGGTTGTTGTGCTATTTATTTTGTTACTGATAAGGAGCAGGAACCTGTGATTAAAAGTGCATTATTTTCTAAAAAGTCTTTTTATTTATAACTCGCACCTACCGTTTACTCAATGAAGATGGATTCAAGTACGAGTACGTTTATGTCTAATAGTTATGTACCTATGTATAATAGAGTGTGAATAATTAGTTACGGGAAATTTAACAATTTGTGGATCGCACAATGTGTCGTCCCACGTGGGGATCGAACCCACAGCACTCAGCGTAATAGAAAACCGTTTAAACCACCACGACATCCGTGCTTTCAAATGCTGCAAGTTATAGTTGCAGTGTTACGAGTAACACAGTAAAACCTCTTAATACTTCGACTTATCAGCAGTCAATACTGCTGATAAGTCGAAGTATTAAGAGGTTTTACTGTGTGACTGCTGATAAGTCGAAGTATTAAGAAGACGAGGAGACAACGCTGCAGATCATCCAGAATCGCTAAGGCCTGATGGAGTCTACAAATGCCATACACAGCAGCTGATCATTATAGTCCTAAGTCTTTTGCACGTTCTGTCGAACAGTATGAGCCTGTTCCGGTGGCTGGAATTTGTCGAGTTTACTCGCGAAACGGTTTGTGTTCCATCATCCCCAGAAGATGCGTTGCTCTTTAGCTGCTTGATAGCTCACTCTCACTTTGGATAATATCGTTTATCTATTCTCTGCAATAACTGAATCTCAATGGTTTTATAATCTCTGGCTTCTTTTTAAAGAAAAAATATTTAGAATGACTCCACTAGCCATTTTACATACTAGACGTGTTCGTGGCTTTATCATTATGACTGTCCACAATAATCATTCAATTATTATGCGAAGTATTTCGAGTTCCGAAAATATGGAAGAAAATATTGGAACGAAGTTCCTCATCGCGCGTTGTGAAAGGGGGCTAGACGGAAAAAAATCTTACGAAAATTGGTCACGACACTTTTTGCTATAGTAATCTATTGTAAGCTGTGCGGCGTCGCATGTTTCTCTGTCTGTCTCTCTCTCTCTTATAGAAAGCAATTATTACGAAAATTGAGCCTACTGATTAAGTTTATATAACATTATACTTGTTAATAAAAAAAAAAAATATTATAACTTAAAAAAAATACAATTTTATTACAATTCCTTCACTAATTAATCGAAAGGAACTTCGTTCCATCCGGGTGTCCCTTGACACCTCTCAAGTTTTTTATTAAGCTTTATGTTCCTGATGGCAAAAGTTCTTTTACATATTTTGCCTGATTCCAAAACGTATCTAACGACAAGGATAAATTCCACATGTGCTTTAGCTGGTGACGAGTAGCTCATGGAGGTTGGAAATCGTTCTGCGCTCTTCGGCACCTGGTACAGAATCTCACGCACTCTCACTTTGGACTATGGCCACAGAAAATCCTACCTTTTTTTTATTTTTTTAACGTGTGGAAATCCCCTCGGACCGTCACCCCACCGGGGTTTGCGGCGGGGTTTACAGAAAATCCTACCTACCTCAACCTCACTCACTTTTTTATTTCCTTAAAATAAAAAAGAATTGGTCTCCTTAAAATTTGCCGCCCCAGGTTCCAGCCTGCTGGTAAATCCGCCACTGACGTACTCGCATCAGACTCAACATTAGAACTCAATACTTTTTAAATATTAATCAGACGTTTCAGGGCGGAGAATAAAACGATTATAACAAAAATGAGCAGTGTGACATTCTGGTGGTGGTATTATGACTTGTAAAGAAATTGTTGCAACAGAGACATTATTAAGATCTAGTTGACAGAGTTTTTGGAGCTAGTGGTGCAAGTGTTCAACATTGTTTGACTACGGACTATGTCGTTGGTGAGCATGATTGTAGATTGTTCAACGATGGAGAGGCGGGTTTGAGTCCCGGTCGGAGTGTTATTGAATAAATTGATACGTAAGTAGTGGCAGGCGCGAACAGGCAGCGAGAATCGCCTCTAGTGTGCAGTGGTCAGTGCCTCAGAGAGTCAGTGCGCGGCAGCTCGGTGCCCGGCGAGAACGTGCGCTGACGTCGCGCCTCTTGCGTTCCGCGTTATACACGCATTTCGCGCACGCCGCGTAGTGATTGTGATTAGACATTAGTGTTGTCAATAAATAAAACGTGCTTCGCGCAGAGAACATGTAGAATAATTAAATAAAAGTATTATTTGTTCTAAATAAAAATTACATGGGTAGATTTTATGTGGCACTACATCTTAAAAATATGAGTATTTCCGACAAGGCCGAGGTTCCGAGGCTTCTAATGGGATTTACCCCTACTGTAACTATACTTTTAATTTCAAAGGTTTTTTCGTGGAGAAGTTATAACTTGTTCTAAACAATTCTTTCACAATTAAGTATTGAATTACATAGACTACAGTCTTTAAGTAAAGAGTACGTCTATAAGTAATACAGTTGAGTATACACTGTAGGCTGTCTAAAAACTATGTTTTGTAAACTCTCTCTACGGCCTTAACACATTGGTCGCTTTTCTTGTAGTGCCTAGTTGTGGAGCTACAATGAAATGTAAAGTACTTCTAAGCGCATACGCATACGTAGGCGGACTACTTCACGCCGTCTGAACGACCTATGTACCTACACTCCGATTCCGTTTGACATCGTATTGTCTATTACTACAAGGTTTTAATCACTTCTCTAATCCAAGCGTTAAGAACAATAGATTATTTATTTATTATATCGTTACTACTAAGTAAGGGTGTTGTAAGAGCTGACCAAGACAGCAAACTGAGCAGGACTGCAAAGAGAAGGAAAACTTGTAACAAATCCTATACCAACCCGTCTGGCCAGCGTGGTATATATGGCCAAAACCTTCTTTCTACGGAGAGGCCTATGTCTAGCAGTGTATTATTTAAGGCTGATGATGATGAAGTAAGAATAATTATCCCTACAAGTATAAAAAGCTTCAACGCTGACAAGAAGGATGAGATGGTAATATTCGGTATTATTAAATTCTGTATTTATTTTCAAATTTATCTCAGTTCGGTAACTAACAGCTCCTCTTGATGCAGGGACGTTAATTGAATTTGCCGGTACTTTATCAAATCCGTTGTGACGAGTATTACTTGCTACGAGCATAATGTTATTGAATCGCAACTATGGCATGTAGTAATCATCACATGCTCTACTTGCTAATTTTCAAAATATATTAAGTCAGGATATAGGCGGTTAGTTGACCGGATCTTCCGTGTTGTCTCTTAGTCTTTATTGGCTCAATAAGTTCAGCATAGAAATTGTACCTTCCTTGTGTAGAGAAACTGATTATTACGGGATACAACTTTTTTTAGAAATGATAAAGCTTAGAGCAGATCTTTAAAATTAAAAATATTGAAATTAAATTTAGAGATTTCAACAATAACTGAATTATATTGATAATAAAGGATATTTAGATTAAAAGATTCTGAAGTAGGTGAGTTCCTTTATGTGCCACATTTAAACATTATAAAATTATGCAAGTAACTTATTCATTTCGCATGGTACAAATACCTTAAAGTAACAAGCCATTTTTGTCCATTTTTCAGGTTATCTTCCAGTTTAAGTCTTCAGCTTTCAAATCACATTGAGTTTGCTTAAATATCTTTTTTTTTCGCTGAGATAGTAGTGAACAGGGTTTGCTTAGTTAAGGGGCTAGTACTTCAGTTAAAGGTTTGCTTAGCTGAACTCGGGGTGGGTAGTATTTGATTGGTTTGAAGGCGAAAAAAAATATATTAGAGCAGTTCAATTTGAAAGCTAAAGACTTGAACTTTAAGATACCCTATGTACTTTTGTAGGCATAATAAAATTTTAAGGGTTACATAACCTTAAGAATGGGCAAAAATTGTGTATTTAGGCCTTTTAGTTTAGAATATCTCAACGTCTCAATCTCCTGACGTGATAGAGCAATTCTGCGGCCGAGTTTGGATACACCGATTCAAAAACTTTTGGGAAAGTACGAGTACTCGTATACTCTGGTTTCTGGACAAGAAACTTTGTCAAATTTTGTTGGCCTGTGTTATTTTTTGTAATATGTAAAAGATTAAAATGGTTACTGTGGGTTCGTGGGGTCTTTAGGAGATAGACATATACCATCCCTGACTTTTTTGTAGATCTTTTTAAGATATATCTTTTATAGTACATTATTTTGATCTATCTCGTAAGGTTTAGTCAGCGTTTGCAAGTAAACCTTCAAAAACATGTTTTTTACGACTTCACATTACAAATCTTTGAAATTCTCGCATTTCCTCTACTATGATATGCATGTATTACACATATAAACCCGCCTCTTAAATCACTCTCTCTATTAGTGAAACCCGCATTAAAATCCGTTGCGTAGTTTGAAAGACAAGAAAAAAAGCGACTTCATTTTATACTATGTGAAGATTTAAACGCCCACGATTTGCCGACGACCGTTCCAGTCCCTTTCAAGTGATCGTGCTCATTATTACACAACATTAATTTATAGTGGGTGAGAATCGAACCAACGACCCCTGGATTAGCAGCCAGGATCGTCAACAAATTGACGTTGCCTCTATATGTTCAATGAAGTACATATTTAGTATTTTGATGTTTATGCTTTTAGAATATACCGAGTATCAACAATTGTCAGTAATCTGGTTTGGTGGGTTATCAGTTTATTATTGTTGTATAGTTACTATTGCCATTTGGTGGCCATCGTTCGTGCTCCTTCACCAGATAGTGCTTTTCGACGGCAAAATCACCAGTAGTACTATAAACTCAAAATATGCTATTTATGCCGTCAGTTTCACCAGCATACCATCATCAGATATTTCCCTTATGATAACAAAAGCAACTACACTCATTTAGCAATAAATAATTAAATTACAAATTGGACCAGCTGTGATCAAGTAGTCTCTTGTATCGCTAGTGTTCCTCATTCCTTCTTTGTATCACTAAGTTCAATAAATACAATAGATCCTAAAAGGTGCCTCCTAATATTATAAGTGGAGTGGTGCACCCAGTTAAAGTGATGTCGTGAGTGTGGGATTCGGCGGCGGCGTGAGCGTTGCGAATAAATGAGTGCGTCACGACCCATTATACAATTAGTGGTGCGCATGCGTGGTGCGAGCGCGTGCTTCGGCCCGCCCCCGTAATTGTGGCTCACCTCTGACCGGTCGGCGGCCGCGCCGTACATTGGTACATACAGTACAATGTATGGACACGCTCTCACGCACCCTTTTCATGGTACCTTATAAAGATGCAAAACAAGTGAACTTTATACAACATCTCTCACACACTTAGATTTACTCACGATCTCTGTTGAACCGGTTATCTGCATCCACATCAAACCTGTAGCATGCTTTTGTGGTTTATCGAATCCTGTCAAAGATCTCTTCCAACAAATGGAAACATTGCTACCTACCACATACAAGTAGTTCACAGACATTTGTGACAAGCAATTGTGTGTAATTTAGTTCCACAACCAAAACTTAGTCACTGTTATTGTGCCATCGACCTCTTTATTACTCTAAGGTTGACTGGATGGGAAATTGCCACGCGCTTACATGTTTATAAGTCAAATAATTCACATAGAACTGGAGTAGACGGTTAGGTCAACTCTATATCGGTGATGTGGACGACGTGGTCGCTCGCTGGCACCGAGTTGAGGGCACCTGTCAGACGATACTCGGCCACAACTGGCTCGTAACCGCCTCGCCGACTCCCATCAATATCTTCTATTTGTATCTTATGTCACGGAGAAAACCCCGTGTAATTGTACACCATGTACAGTGACGTGATGGCTTGGGTAACATATCGAACACAGTTATGGCTAACTGAACGCAATCTATTCATATGTCCGTTCGGGATTTCATTTATCATAAATCAATATTATTAACGAAGGTTATGAAGCAAAATGTATTATTTAGTACCACTAAGGAAGTCAGAGAGAGTGTCGTAACTGACGGGTTAATACATTCAATAGTTAATTTTATAAATAAAGTGAGATTGTTCGTTATCTTGTTAACTGTGTCTTTCGTGAGAACAAGCCAGCTATTCAACTCCGCCGTTGCTTGACTTTCAGTGAGCTCCTTATTGTTCTCGATCCCCACTAAAAACTGGTCGCGTAATAAAACTTCACAGGTGAGAACTGTACCTGCATAGATATTAACAGTAGCGAAATCTTTTAGATGATAGGATAGAACAACGATTTGGTAGTCGGCAAATAAGTTAAATGAAGATTATGTCGACGCTTGCAGGGGAAAATGTTTACTTGACACCTATTACTTATAGCTTTAGCAGTTTTAGAGTGAAATTGAATGAAATAATTTTAAATGCATATATGTATCTGTCAGGTTTTTTAAGTCGTAAACTTTTTTACTAAAAAAATTTTCTAAACATCATAAATCAATAATTTTAGGTTAGGTATACTATGTTTCCAGTGTGACGGTTTTTACTATACACGATAAGCAACACTGATATCTAAGGCTCTCTGCAGACATTTATGCATAAAGTAATATTTTGGTATACTCAGACTAGTCGGCAAGTGAGTTCGACTGACAGGTACGTGCCTGTGAGCCCGCCTCGTCACTCCCCATCTCCATCCGTATAAGACATATTCCTTCCCTACCATTGCCTTGCCTTCTTACTTCACTTGTTGCCTGCAAATGACTTGCTCCCTGTTCGTAAGTACCAACAAGTAACAGTTTGTTGTACGGCGCACTTAAAGGTACACTCGCAGCACCTCTATTTGTGTGGCTCTTGGATATGGTTATCATTGTAAGCGCGTTAAGTGCCAATCACGTTATTATTTGGCGACACCGGACCCTCTATGACCGTAAAGTCTCTCCGATACAGTGGAGCTACTCCTTGCATACTTATTCAGGTTTTATTTAATAAGTGAACTTGTTTTTGGCCATAAAACATACAGTAGACGAACGGGCGGTGTACTACCGGGGTCGTGCAGCCTCCAGTGAGTACATAACGAGATGTGTGTCAGTGTGTCGGTTTAGGAACTGTTGGATGTGTGTGCGCCTCTCGCCGAATCCTCGCAAAAAGGTCCGCGCAACATTCCGGCCGGGGCGGTGCGTCCCGCGCCCTCCGCCGTCCCTGCGACGGATGTGTGTCAGCGGCGCACGTCCGTACGTCTCTCGCTCCTGAACCAGCACAAGCAGTCAACAACGGACTGCGACAGGCGGAGGCGCGTTCTGCCGACTCACCGCCGGTAATGAGTGCGATACAATGTTTGCCGCGCTGCGCCGCGCCGCCCGCGCACCGCTCCCGTACCGCGACACACAATACCTCATTAGTTCCGACTGCTGAGAGCCTGATTATGATGTGGACGTGCGCGTGAGTGAACTCGCCCAGTGCGCCGCCGACGACTAGTTTTTGTGTACGACGTCATGGAAGTGCGTCGGAAGAGAGTTTTAACGGTTAACGCTAATGGTGACGGATGTGAACATGTGAACAGTGGCAGTGCGCCGTTCGGATAGTGTCTCGCCTTCGGTGCGGCGCGGTGCGATATGCTGCTGCCGGACCAGACGTACGAGGGCGCGGAGCGGCGAGGCGCGGGCGCGCTCTTGGTCATGCTGCGCGCTCACCGCCTGCCACCCGACTTCTTCTGCGCCAATAGGGCAGCGCAAGAGCGCGCCAACGGCACTACCCCACTCTCCATTCGGTAGGTAAAGTTGTTTAGCACAGATATGATACTCGCTATTACAACAAAACATGTCAATACATATTTAAGAAGAAAATTAATTACCTTCCTTTTTAAAAGGATCTTTATACTGGAAGAAATACATTAATTAAAATTGTCTTGAGAAAGAATTATCAGGTAGTGTATTTTGCGTTCAGTTGAATAAATTGTAAACTGAACGCGTGAACACTTGATAGACTAAGAGTATTGAATAGGTCCTAAATAGTGCCTTAGTGATAACTAAATACTATACCCCTTTATCGCAGTTCGTAATTATCAGACTACTAATGTCTAGTCAAAGTAAAGTTGCTAAGAAATTGCTCGAAGTGGTAGAAGTGTGCTAGAAATACAACGAGTAAACATTATCAATTCAATATGCCAATATTATGTGTCAGTTTTAGAGTGTACTGGATTAATTGCACAAAAAACAACACTATGAGGCCAATCGAGCTAATCCAGCTCTTTTAACATAAATCGTAAGTAAAATGCTTACAGCACAGACATTATAGCACATAAGCAGTTCTGGGTGTTGGTCCTAGCAGTCTTGCTATTGTGTTCGTTCAACATGTGTTGTGTGATTTGTCGTAGTAAGACGATTCCCATACTGCACCGCGCTCCGTTGTACTACGCGGCGGAGCGCGGTGCGGTGTGAAAACCGCCTAATTCATGAAAGTATATGATGTCGGTATGGTGCAGGTCCTCGTCGGTGGCGGGCGGCGGCAGCAGGCGGCGGCGACGCTCACGCCCCCCGCGCTCTCGGCAACAGCACGGTCAGTGTATGCACACACATGCTATGTATAAGTTACTAACTACACTCCGCGGCGATGCCCACGTAAAAGTTTCTCTATACCTCGGACACAATCCTTGTGTCTAAATTAAATGTTTCCCCGGCAACATGTATGCAACGTTTTATGATAATTGGAAGAAAGGTGCAGCGTCGCATAAAACACGAACAAAGAAACATTACCTTTTACATGTTATTTATGTATATTGTACAATTAGTTATACATACTAGACAACATGGCTAGACCGTACACAATAAGTGCTTGCATTCTGCTTAGGAAAAATAATAATAAGAAAAATAATCTCGTGTACAGAAAGAAGGTCATCACCCCCATCCATTCCGTGAGGTCGTAAGAAGGAAAACTTGAAACAAACCCTATACCAATCAGCGTGGCTTTCTAAGGAGCCTCTCCTTAGAAAGGAAGTTTTGGCCCAGCAGCCCCTTTGTCCAGCAGTGGATTAGTAAAGGCTGTTGATGATGATGGTGATGACAGACAGAAGGATGTAAGGTGCAGTAGTATGATGCTAGACTGCTGAGAAAGTTGATGTCGCTACACAACTTAAAAATGTTTTTAGACGCCGAGAACTGCTTACCGTACGTGGAGCCTGGGCACTTTTGCCGCTTAAATGTTATAAAGAAAACATAACTTAAAAACAGGCCTTAACAGAACCAATTTTAATAAACCAAGCTCAACCTGTGACATATACATCTCACTGTAGATAAGAGTTGCAAAATTGCCTGATACCTATTATTAATTTCAATGATGTATAGAGTGCGAATTATAAAATACATGTCTCTTTTACAAGTCCACTAGACATGACCGTTGCAAAATTAGTCAATTTCACATCACGGAAACATCTGCAAACATTGTTGGTATCAAAACATACTACATTTATGACGGCCTTGCATCTACCGACTATTACTTTTTCCAAAATTTAGACAACTTTTTAGTGGGTAAAAAATTCAATTCCCGAGAGGCAGTACAAAACGCCTTTGAAGAGTTTGTTGCCTCCCGTCCAGCTGATTTTTACAAGAAGGGCATCAATAAACTGCCAATACGTTGGCATAGATGCGTCGATTGCATGGGTGATTACTTCGAATAACAGAAATAAAAAAGTTTGAAAAAATAAGTACTTTCACTAATTGCATACAAAACGGCAATTTCATAGGTAAAGACTTATTAATTGGTTGTGTATTGTGGCGTTGGATGAGTATAAAGCTTACTGTAAACTATGTAAAAAGAGTTAACTATTTCTCATGGCGAATTAAACGAGTGTGAAGCATTCAAAAACAAGTAGTCACTCGAAGATCACGAGTTCTCGCGCTGCTAGAAACATAAGCACAGCATAGTTATTTCCAGGCACCAGGTACTTCCACATCTGATCGTGATCGCGATGATAATTATGTACAAAACGTCTACTTCTATATATCACACCATTAAATATTCGTTAAGCTAGAATAGTATGGATTGTTTTCAAAAGGTCTTACTTCTCATGTACGCCGATTCCAAGATACTCGTAGCTAAGAATGTTAAATGTGGTAGGACAAAGAGTTGAAGGACGTAATTCAAAATTTAAAAGAAGATTTATTTTTTTGCGATATCTACGGATGCCAGTAATAAAGGAAACCGTAAAATGTTTCCAATATGTGTGCGATATTTCAGTTTGAACAAAGGGATACAAAATAAATTAATAGATTTTGTGGAGAATTATGATGAAACTGCCGACCAAATAACAAAGGTACTTTGTGAAATATTGGATAAAAATAACTTAAAATTATCGCAAGTAACTCATATGGTGCTGACAATGCAAATGTAAACTTTGGTTCAAATCATTCTGTTTTCATGAATCTCGTTGCGAAAAACGAAAACATATTAAAAGCTAACTGTTCAGTTCACATCTTACATAACTTGAGCAAATTTGCATGTGATAGATTAGACATCGATGCAGAAGCTATCATCTTAAAAATATACGCTCATTTCTCATATTCAGCTGAACGTCGTGCGGAATTGATGCAGATATTTGAAACTACGGAAATGGAGTGGGTCGAATTATTACGTTACGTAAATACAAGATTTATGTCGCTCTGTCCTGCTGTTGAGAGTTTTCATCATCAAGGCTTATTGTTAGCCTGCTTGAAAAGATACTTTGATAAGCAAGAATCATGTTCGAAAGCCATTAAAATGAATTTTTACTCTGAAGCAGAGGAGACAAAAACTCAAGCCTAGGTACTTGCATTTTGTTCATAATGTGATGAGTACTTTCGGTACATTAATGAAAGAGACTCATGCATTTCTGTTATGGAAATGATATTGCCATAACAGAAATGCATGAGTCATTATGCTGTATCTTTAATAAAATGGACAGGCAACATTTCGGTAGATAACTTATATGAAGAATTTAACTTGTTGAAATCGTCCTTGGAAGTATTGGTGGGAAATTGCAAATACACCACTGCCACCCACTGGTACCAGCTCTTTCAACAGTTTCCAAAAAAGATACCAGGAATATTTTTAAACTAGTGACTTTCATATTAAGTATCCCAACATCGAACTGCTTTCCTGAACGCGATTTTGCCCAGATTAATTTAAAATGTTTGGATGCCAGAAATAAATGTTCCGTAAATTTAATGAAATCCGAATTACCTACTCATCCAGTTTTAATCTACAGCTATCCTGTGAAGAGTTCTTCATCTTTATTAATGAGAAAACTTTAAAAGAAGTTAAATTTTCACAGAAATATCATGAATAAGTAATACTTATAAATAATTATTTTCTAATTGTAAGTTGCAATTTGTAACACTAAATTTTCAGACAATTATATAATATAATATAATAATATATTCTACCACATTGACACAACGCCATCTAGTCCCAAACTAAGCAGAGCTTGTACTATGGGTACTAGACACCTGATATAAATACATATATACTTTTCTTTTGTAAATACATACATATTATACATAGAAACACCCAGACCAAATCAAACATCAAATGTTCATGCACACAAATGTTTGACCTGAGCGGGAATCGAACCCGCGACCTTTGGAATAGCAGTCCGTTACACAAAGCACTACACCATCCAGTCGTCGACAATTGTTTGAAACGCCATATTTTTCTAATGAATGTAACTTTTATGATGTAGATTTCTGTTTTTTTTTTTTTTATTCAGAAGACGAATAAGACAACTATTTAACGTCAGGGTAAATCTGATTTAAAATATTATATTTTTATTAAAATCCATTTCTATGGATATATTTGCTGTTTATTGTCACGTATTTATCTTTTTATTTGAGTACAAATGAATGTCATTTGAACTATAAATATATTTAAAAAGTTCCAAAATCGCGACTTGGCAAAAAAAAAAACTGGCAACGCTGCCCGCGACAAAGGATTTCTTCCTAGTGCGGGAGTTGTCTTTTTAAAAAATAATTAATTAAAATGAAGTTGCTGTTAACACTGAGGAAGGCCCACCATTAAAGGGTCACATCGAGATAATTTATTTATACCCTGATGTAAAGATTACCTACCCCTAATAAATGTGGTGTGAGGTGTAAGCGCTTCCTTGCGTGTCTACAGCGCGCCTGTGCTGTACGAGGCCACAACAATGTTGCTTCCGATAGCACGTTCTGTGAGCCTACAACTACTCAACGTGAGTTATTTAGAATAGCCAACTTTAAGAACACCTCGCACAAACGTATCGGTGACTATTTTTAATGCCTGAGTGATTATCTGTGAAAATACCACAAGACGTTACTTTTATTCAACACATTACGGTAACAGGTACGGGCGAGTGTTTATATTTGTTTTAAACGTAGGTATAATCCCGGAACTGTCAAGAGCATTAAGTTTGCAAAATAAGTTGGAAAACATTCTCTTTTATTGAAGAAAGAAAGAAAGAAGAAGAAGAAAGAAAATACGTTTATTAGTCACAACACAAACACAGCCAAAAAAGGAATTACAGATATAACATAGAAGAGAAAAAGAAAAGAAACAATTTGCTCAACTGAAGAATAGCACATACAATAACAAAAACAAACAAGTACAAAAGAATAAAATGATCACTGTGTGTGACTAAAGGGCCACAACTCAGCCTATGCTATAGTCCCTAAAAGTGACCACAGCGCTGATTTTCAGCTGAAGCCCAAAGGTACCTCACGGACGTGTGCACATTTCAATTACAATAAACAATATGTGAATACAATAAACATATAAATAAAAGTGATAATTACATACATTAATTACATAACATACATTCTGTTAATATAATAAAGATATCAAATAACTAGTTAGTTGGAAATTTATAGATATGAGAGCAGAGAACAATTTTTTTTTTTTATTTATTAAATAATGTTAGCAATATTGCGAGGACTAATTCTACAATTACAAGGTGCTGGATTTTTGTACGGTTAAAAGCAATACCTTTACTTTTGATTTAAAAGTTTTACAACTCACTAGGTTACGGAGTGGCGGTGGCAAATTATTCCAGCATTTTGTTGCACTATACCGGAATCCTCCTCTGAACGCTGTTGTTCTGTGTCTAGGTATGTGTAGTGGTGCAGACCCTTCTCTGCTACTGTACTTTTTGCCCACACCCATCCAGTCTAGTTTGGTGAACAAATATTGTGGCGTTTTATATTTGACGAGCCCAAATAAAAGTGTAGCTAAATGAAGCTCCCTCCGCCGCTGCATCTTTAAAATACCAGCTGCGTTCAGATATGGTGTAACATGGGCTCGTCTTGGAATATTAAAGCAGTAGCGCGCACACGCGTTCTGCACTCTTTGTATTAAACTAGACGTTCTAGCTAATAGCCTAGGACCATATACTACATCGACATAACATTGCAAGGACATACGTTTGAGGGATCACGTAAGATAATGTATTATGTAGGTAACATAATGAATTATTAAATCCCTGCACGAGAGGAGATGTACGAACGTAAACATCGATCATTTGATCGCAGAATTAAACCCAGTGGGATGCGCCTGTGGTAGTGTAGGTGTAGGTGTGTGGCCTGGTGGTGCGGCGAGTGTCGCGGGCGCCGTACAATAAACAAGTCGGACGTTATCGCGCGCCCCTTAATTGGCCTTATCTGCAGCCTCCACGCCGCCATTGTGCCCGGGCTCGTGTTGTCGCACCATTGTATACATACAAGTCACACAACAAAGCCACCAACCGACTGCTAAACATATAATAAAGGCAAACAAGACACAGTTAACAACTATTTTCTCAACACATTTTTGAAGTGAAAACTTTTTTAGGCTCGTTGGGCATTTTTGAACAAAAAATAAACATATATTTTTTTGAGATGGGAAAAACCAATGAAAACTGTTACCGTTACCGATACCTCTGTATATAAGTATCTACATTTATTTGCCTTGTTTACACGAGAGTTGCATTTGGCTTGAAATACATTGATAATAGAATAGCACTGCTAAACTAAACTAATAATAATAACCAATGATATATATAATTTAAGCATATAGTGTGTATATACGTTCAACATATATTAATGTCAGAAATTTTTGAATCGAGAAAAACAAAATTTCTTCCTGTTATAATAAAAAAAAAGTTTTCACTTCTGTCAGCACTCCTAGCGTGCCACTGTTTTATTTGTTTCTTAAGTTATTGAATAGCGTTAATTACGTATCTAGTATCGTAATCAAGAAATGAATTAGAAATAATATAGCGAGTTTAGCAGTGCTATTCTATAAGGAAACAGCCTGAGGCGTAGCGTGGACTAACATAGACGTGGGCGAAGTCACATCAGCGAGGCCCATTTTCTTTCGTTTCCAAGACATAGGTACATCTCCTTTACCAAACATGCTTTGATACGACATACCTATTCAGATAGACAGAATATTAGAAGGCAAATAGATTAAAAAAAACCGGTCAGGTACGAGTCGAACTCGTGCGCCGAGGGTTCCGTACCTACCCAGATTTTACGTAGATTTTCGCGAAAATTTGTAAGCACCAAAATTTGTCTTAATTTTCAACTTTTTTTATTTTTTGGAATTATTCCTTTATTTGTGCTGTAAGAAGTTTCTTTTTGCCAAATTTCGTGATTCTGGGTCAACGGGAACTACCATATAGGGTTTTCGACCCAAAACCTATAGTATACTTCCGGTTAACCTAGAATTGTCAATTTTGGTTAAAAGCAAGGTCTTACAGCACAAGTAAAGAGAAAATTCTGAAAAGTAAAGAAAGTTGAAAAGTATGGTAAATTTTGGTGCTTACAAATTTTCGCGAAAATCGACATTTGCCCATATCTTTTTATCATGTTGACTCAGGACCTTGATTTTTATGCACCTCATGGAGACCATAGACCTCAGTATCTGCTATAAATTTCAACTTGCTAGGTCTACATGTTCCTGAGAAAATCAATGGTGTGTCACCATTGATTTTCTGGACGGACAGACGGACAGACGGACAAGTGATCTTATAAGGGTTCCTTTTATAGCTTTTGAGGTAGGGTGGCCTAAAAAAGGTTTAATTTATAACTTGAGTGATTTTAATTTCTTACCCTACATTTTTTTTTCGGGTTTACCAGAGGTCTAAAGGAGTAAAGCAAAAATGCTTTACTCCTTTAGACCTCTGGTAAACCCCTGTAATTATTTTTGCAGCTAAATCTGCTGCGATTGAAGGTATTGCTAAAACAGGCAGTCGCATTTGCTTGATAATGTTTCTTAAGTAGTTTTTAACGATTTTTTAATTAGAAATAGAGACGGTGTCAGTCCTGACAAGTTTGGTGCCTTTAGATATTCTGGCATTTCGGACACGAGGGACTATGACCAGATTCGTGCGATCCGCCAGCGTGGGAGCGGGGAGGTTCAGGACTAGCTCAAAATGAGGCGAACAATTCACACACAGGCACTGATGCAAAGGCGCGCGGATGGACTAGGTCGAAATGGGCACCAAAGCGTTTTATGGTGCCGTTTTGTATAACCTCTAAGAGCGAGTAAGTAGGGTGCAGGTCGCGTTAGCTACCAGTTCACGCACGTACTCCTCGGGCATTGTGATTTCGGTGAGTACCAGAATTCGATTGGATGTAAGTAGACGGCAATGCCAGCACTGCGCGGCCGTCTGGGCCTCCGACCAGCATGCGCAAGCGAAATACCCTGCGTGGGTTTCTAATCGGGAGGTCCTGCAAGATCAAATCGGATGAGTTTTGTCCCCGGCAGCAATTGTTTCAAAACATGGCCGGGCTACAACACATAGGTAGTGATTGGACCAAAAGGCGGTGGAAGCCTAGGGCTTCTCCCGGGATAGGGCCTAGTTAGGTGCGGCGTTGATCCAAGGGAGACCTGAAATCACATGGTTCAGGTCCTCCCAGAGTCGGACGCCTGAGGCCGGATGTCGGGCGGGTTTTAGAGGAGACATTACATACTTCTCCGTCTCCAAAGCGGTGGAGATACAAAGGTTTTTTCAACCCATCAACAGAAAAGATGTTTTATTCCATACTTAATCGGAACATGTCTTCTTTACAATCCAATAAAAATATCACAACTCTTTTAAAAAAATTGTGTTTTTATTTTAAAATGAAAAAGCGCACTCTTACTGAGACACCCTGTAGTAGTAGGGTGGTAGTGTGGCAGCGCTGTAAGCAAGGCTGTTTTCTTAGAGAATAGCACTGCTGTAATTAATATTACGTCAAATAGTTTTAAACGACGTTTTATTCATTCAGAAGATACATTTGGTAGATGTTGTTAGATGAAATGAATAGATAATGTTTTAAAATTAAATATAATTATATTTAATTTTTTATACCTGTTGTTCCAGATAGGACACACTATTTTAATTGAAAACCGTTAGCTGGAATCAGTTAATATAATTTCATAATGTTGTCATCATGAAATACTTTTTAATTCTTCGCTACTCTCTATGATATCCAAAAAGTTTCTTCTAAAATAATAAACTACATCTTTGAAATCGGTGCTTAAGCGTTTTTGTTCTCTAAGAAACAATCGCCAGTTAGAGTTATTTTAGAAATTTACTTGTATTATTTTTGCCAAGCTACTGTTGAATATTCTTTTAAAAATATATTTACAGATAACTGCACGTACAACGCGGCTCGTAGGCCCAACCAGTAGGTACATGGTATACGATGCTATAAATTGCACGTCGATTTATTCCCCGCTCGTGCCTTTGCTCTGGTATTGACAGAGTGGTTGAGGCTGAATAAAGGAACTTGCCAACTCCAGAACTCAAACATAGATACTATAAGAGAAATGCCGACCGGTAAATTACAGTTATTTCAACCTGTCGAACTTTGAAAAAGATCTCGGGTTAATAACATTACCAGGTTACAGTTCCTATCATGAGATTATAAAAACGAAAGGAAATTAGTTTACGTCTAACACTTTCACACACATATAGTTGTTGTAATGTAACCAGGCTGAAGTAATCGCTTAAAATATGTTGTAAAAAACGAAGCAAGTTTAATAAAAGGTTGGGAAAACATGAATTACTAAAATCATTTATTATAAACTCTATTCGCAATGAAACCTTAATTACAATACTAATACAAATACAAAACTTTTGAAGAATTCTTCCATGTAAATACGAGTATATTTATAAGAACTCGCGCTGTTTGTTCTGACATTATAATGACATTAAAATGGAGAGACCTTAATCTTGTTCTTAAATTAGATTTTTATAGTCTATATTGCAGTACGATTGTTATTGATAGAAGTATGTTCTATATACTTAAGTTAAATTTAGGGATGAATACATTGTAAGTTTAGGGTACGATGGGGCTGACATGATCTTATGTGTGACTACAAGACCTAAATAAAAAATTAAAAAAAGATTTTCAGCCCTGTGTCTGTCTGCCTGTGTTCGGTCCGTCGCTCGGCTAGAATTGACATTATACCTATATAATCTTCTTGGTGGTGTCTTTTATGCCGGCCGTCTGCCTGACCCTAATACTCTTTGAAAATGTTATCGTTTCCGGTCGAAGCAAAGAGGAAAGGTGTGTGTATCAGGGCAAGCATGATAGGCCGAACGTCTCGAATAGCAAAGAGACTGCAATAGTTCGAAGAGGTGAATTGTAAGAATGAGTAAATATGACAAGGAATAGCGACTCGTAAAGTTAAAACGGGGAACGTGTTATGTGACTATTGGGACGATATGTTCCAAACAAAGCAAAGGTTCTACTATGGGTATTTTTTGTAAATATGTATGTGTGTATATCTACAAAGGTAAATACCCAGATTTGTTTAAATAGGTCTCTAAGGGACTATAGGGCCCATTCACACGTAGTACAAATATTTATTTTCAGCCCGAATCGAATCTGATCCCTACGTTTGCAGTCGAATGCTCAACCGCAAATTCCACTTGGATCATGAACTTTACTATAATTTCACAGTTTAATTACAATGTGGTAAGGCACACTACTTATTCGTTCGCACTTGAATGGGGCATGCTCCACGCTTACAAGTTGTTAATAGGCCCGGTGTGGAAGTGTACCGGCGTTGATTTATAGCCACGTAAAGTAACTGCCTTCGTAACTTGTTACCACTTTGTACTTCAAGACTCAGGTGCATCGGTTATAGCAATAATAAACGTGCCAATGTTAGAACCCGGTGCCCGTGCACTCGCACTCGCAGTGCGCTGGCGCATATTTACTTGATTGATAATGATTTACTTTCAGAGAAGGTAGTACACACCAGAGTTATGTTTTACTAGGAGTTAATCGTATAGAGTTTCTTACCGTGTCAAGCAGCTTCAATGTAGTGTCATTTTAGCTTCAAAACCTTTGAATTCTACATTTTTCATGTCTAAAATGTTATTGATGGACCCACATTCGAGTCAAGCTGAGTTATACCTTTTAGTTTAATCTGTTTGGGCGGCTGATAAATGCACTACGTATTCAATTGTCAACCCAGGGATCACAGGTTCGATGCCCGCTCAGTGCATGGATACGTGTATTTGCGTGAGGTGTCGATCCGTTAATTAGATCCCATAGTACTACTAGTTCTACTTAGGGCTCAAATAGTAATCTGTTATTATGTCTCAGTATTAGTTTAAAAAAAAACGAAATCTAATTAATTGTCTAATCTCACCTCATAAAGACTTTTATTTAAACCTGTATGAAATGCTGCTTTTTTGAAATACAGTCTACCAACGTACTGATAACGATGATTTTTATTTATTTATTTACACATCATGCACAATTGGTGCATTAACGCCAAAGGCATTCTCTATGTTTTTATTTTTTATTTCGGACGCCGACGATATTTTTTATTTCTGATTTTTTTCAATAGCAATGTTTTAAGTTCATTGCTACAACTAAATTTGATGTATGTTACTTTTCTACCAAAATAAACAAAGTCAATGTTGAACTTTGAAATAGAGGAAATGAGACCTCAGTTAATGTTTGTAATGTTAATGTTTGTTTGTAATGTTTGTAATATATTGTTTGTTAGTGAATACAAGTTGAAAAACGTAGTACTGACTGATCCTCCACTGCTCCGTGAACTTCTTACACCGGTACTTCTTACATCGTTTGTTGGTCTCCGTCAAGTAATATACAGGCGATTCCTCCATTTTAGATTTTTGGTCACTTCTCACCCGCTCTTCCGTAAATATAAAGCTTTTCAGGACGAGTGACGTTAGTAAATCATTAATAAAAGTCACTTTTTGATGTTGATGTAATTATGGTTCACATCTTTCAATTTTTTGTCAAAATTAATTACTTCCCCAATTTTCAGAAATATTTGTTTCTATGGTCACATCGCGGCATCATATGCGGCGTATAGGCACTGTACTTGCAATAAACACTCGTTCACAACAAAATTCTCTATTACATTATATGTACAGATTCCCGTGATGCACGCTTTAAAAATACTTACTAACACCTAATTACAACATCACGTTCAAACTCAAACTATCTTTATTTCGTTTCTTTTACACACAATAATAACAATCGGTTATGTTAAATGTTTAAAAAAATGAAGTTAATCCATTATACATATGTCTGTGCTGATCTACAACCGTCCGTTTCCAAGGGAAAGAAAGAATAAAGGGCAAACAAACTCACGGCCACTCTTTTTCAATCACAGCTAGATACAGTCGCATCATTAATCCCAAGCATTCTTGTCTTTTTTATTTTTTTTTTCTTTGTCCTTTCTAAGGGGAGGCCTATGTCCAGCAGTGGACTATTAAAGGCTGTTGATGATGATGATGATGATGATTCTTGTCTTTTATATAATCCACAATCGAGTAATAGGCCTTCTGACACAGCCTACGCTGCACTGTAGTTTTAAATTTGTTTATACTCAAGTCTTGAATTGTACTTGGGATTTTATTATAAAATCGGACACATTGACCTCGAAACGACTTGTTAATCTTTTGAAGTCTAGAGGCAGGTATAACAAGTTTATTTCTATTTCTGGTATTGTATTTATTACCTGGCATGTATTATCTATGTTCAATTGGTATAACATGATTGCGCTTGTAACTGACCATAAAGTACACGTAGAAAGTTTTATGTATCATAAAAGGTGGCTTGTACTGGCTGCTCCAGATCCACTCTCGAATGCATTGATTTATTTGTGGCACGCCACGTGCACTTTGTGTCTCCGCGCAGGCGCATGCGCAGCGATCAGAGGCGACGTGACTTGACTGCAGACGCCGCCCTGTAATACTGTGCTCACTACTCACTGCACACTGTCCAAGTACTTTTCGGTATCTTATTGTAGCGCAGAAGTAAAATACGTCAGAGACATGTTGATGTTCGAGATATGAGAACATTGTGTGCGGGACGGCGGTATACCAGATCATACGCGAATAACAAAAACATTTAGAAAACGACAATAATATTTAAACTCCGGTTGCCTATCGGAGGTGGGTACGTAGCGAGTGTTTTATACGAAAGTCGTATTACTGTCGTCCAAGTAGTCGTGAGTGGTAGCGTTTATTTCACATATGACACAAAAAGTGCCCAAGATCTTACTTTTATTTCGTAGCAAGATATAGTTTATCAACAATTTCTTTAAGTTCAAAGAAAAAGAGATGAAGCGAGAAAATAACGTACCTAATATTTTCATCATCATTATCGATACTATTTTGTGATGTATTAACGAAGTCTAATTTTGTGTATTAAAATTACGTTTGTTAAAAATTGCCCAGTGACGGAAAAAATATGCCGCTCATATTTGTGTCGTTCTGTAATTATTATACGTATCTACATATATATATATACCATATTTGAATATCAGATGAACAGGAGAAATACTGTCAGACAAATTACAATCTGAGGTCACATAGTCCTGAGAATGGGTTTCTCGAGATTTTAATTGTTAGGGTGTAGGGAACTGGGTACCAAGGATTTCCTTTCTAGGGTACACCTGGTTCCCCGGCAACTGGTACCATCCTACCGGTAGGTGGTATCGGAAGGGAAACGAAGGGTGTAGGGAACTGTTCAATTGAGGTGAGTTACACTGTGTTTTAAAGAAGTATAGGGACTACCTAATAGAAACCAACGTTCAGAATAAGACTAACGGTAAAAATACGGCCGCATGGCCTAGTGGTTTTCTAACGAACTGCTACGCCACAGGTCGCGAGTTTGATCCCGCTCAAGTCCAACATTTGTGTGCATGAACATTTAATGTTTGATTCGGTCTGGGTGTTTCTATGTATAATATGTATGTATTTACAAAAAAAGTATTTGTATCAGCTGTCTAGTATTTACAATTCAAGCTCTGCTTAGTTTGTGTGATTGTGGTAAAAAAAAAATTTGGTCGTTTAAGTCAAAGGGTCCTAAAGGGTCGTAGTAATCGTTCAGATAGTTGCATCAGTGCTTTAGGTAGGCGCACGATCAAGGAGACTCACGGTGGTGGAGATGGCAGGGTCATGCAACAACATCATAATTGAACGAGTTGAATGTACTGTTGACTGTCGAAGACTAAAATATTTTATATTAATTAGGTAATGAGTACAAAAAGAGTACATTCTTGTGTGTTGTCTCACGATTTGAAAGTGCTGCGACGGAGGACCGGCGCCCAATTAGCGGTGATTAATGTGGGTAAACATAACTTGACGTGTTCATGCAGCAACCTTCGGATACGTTCATTTTTTTGCAATTTTTTTTTGAGACTTGTATTGTTTTTCAACATTACTTAGAGTTTGATAAAGAAGTTAAAAGTTTTAAGCAATATTAAATTACGGTGTATCAGAGCGTGCTGATGGCAACAGGGTGTTCAGAAGCAAGAGCGGCTCGTCCAGCAAAGTTTTGATATTAAGATATGTAATCCATAACTGCTGTAACAATCTAATAACTGTATGAATAAGACAGTTAGGAAGAAGAGGCGCACGAGTGACGGTAAGTCGCGTGAGGCGCGCTCGTTACCGCGCCGGCACCACCACTGCGCACCACACCGCGTACACGGAGCGATCATCAGCCCGTCGGATACCACTTGACTCCGACAGTCATCGCTCGTGATCCACTCGCCAAGCGACACTATACACTGTACAAATGTACTTGTTACAGTTATTTGTGAATTACGTGTTACAGTCAACTCTAATATCCGAACAGACGTGATGCACGCGCTGACAAAATATCATCAGAGGTGAAGTGCGCAGGCGCCAGTACCTGTAGAAAACATCGGTGTGCTCAACTGACGACGATGTCGGATGTGAACGCTTCTCTATCAGGTTTGTGTAGTGTGTTGGATTCGTACAGATGCACCTGCGTTTATTTCTTGTAATATATTTTGCAATCCCAGCGCTCTACGATTGCACTGCGGGGGATATTGAGTGTAAAAACTAACAATTGAGCGCAATACATGAAAGTAAGAAGAGCTAAGGCGTGTCGCATACAATGTCGTATCTGTGGCACTCTCTGTACGCTATAAACTCGAATGTAAGGTGTGCGCAGTGCTTTTTATTGCGAATCAAAAGCATAGGTAGAAGTTGCGCTGTCGGCGCTCGGCGCTCGGTTTTGTTGTTGTTCGATGAGAAACGTTTTTTTTTTGTCAATTGTTCTATTGTATATTAAGTATAAACAATATTGTTTTGATTATTTTTTGAGGCTGAAATCTGATTTTTTCTTAAAACCTAAGCAAAACACCGTGGCGGGTGAATATCCCGCCGCGAAACCGGCTTTACTGAGACCACGTCTTTGTTGCACTACCAAACATTACAAAACAGCGAGAAAATATACCCATACAGTTTCTTTTTTAAATATAGGCGTATATAAGATCTAGGCGAATCTAGAGTTAAAAAGCGTAAAGAAAGAAAAGAAAGCGTTTAGAGTTCCTTAAGTTCCTCGTTCCGCTTAATATCAATAAACTCTAATTTATATTTATTCACTTTAGTACAATGTGCACCCACCCTAATGTGTTGTTGTACTATGAGCCTAAGGAGTTGACCGAGGCGTATTAAACGCCTTCAAGAGTCTGTCATTCAACTGCATGAGCTGATGAAGCTGCAATGCACGAGGTGCCAGAGTACCTGAGGCGGCTAGTGGCAGTCTATTTGGAGAAGCGTACCGTCATGTACCAGCGCCTCATTTCAGCTACAGGAGGTCCACTGCTGGTAATAGGACACCTGATGGCACTTGCTTCATTACACAGAATTCACATATTATATATACACTGTACTACTGATGAGAGATGGATGGCTGTATTACGTTACATTCAAGACTCATGAAAAAAACATTTTTTTTTTAACAATCAAATTTTAATAATCAAGTAGGTATATTGAATTTTATGAATACGAAGTTTATATAAAAGACGTAGCTCGCAGAATGAGTATTAAAAAAAAATTAACTGGCTGCCAGCGAACCAATAAATGATTGCTGAATAGCTTTAACTTTGAGAGGTGGTTGCTCCAAAACGTTCCCAATTCGGCAACGAGAGCTTCGCGCGGCCAGTCGATGTGAATTATAGTCAACCTTCGCAAAAACCGTGGCCAGTTTATCGAATTAAACGTTTGATAATGCGCGATGGAAGACCTCTGGCGGGTGTCGCGTACATCGCGCAGGTTTCGACAAAGGCAGTGGCGCGTAGTAGCCGGCGAGGTGGGCCTACTGCGGGAGTTCGCAACTTCGTGGCATTCGTAGAGAGGCCGCCTCTGTCCTCAGCGCACAACTGCTGTGCAACATTATATTAGATGGCGCTGCATTACGCGTTCATAATATCTGTTCCTATTTGTATATATAAACTAATGTACATATGTATAGCTACGTATCTGCTGCGGTTATTCATAAGTGCTGGATTAAGTTTAAAGTTCTCATAAAAAAAGTTTAGTACTATGAACACACACTTACGCTCTTAATAGTACTATTGGTGTGAGCCTGTATCCCCCAACTTGTAGGTAGAGACATATTAAGACTAAATGATAGGTGTCAAGCATATTGCCGGGCAGTTTAGGCATCAGATGCGAATATTTGGAGTGTACCAAATGAAAGGTAGATAAGTAAAGATGCCAATGATAGCGAAGAGATGTTGCTTGTGCGGATAAGTTCGGGAACATAAGCAATTCTCGAGCGGGTCAGGATCGTACACCTGTAACTCGAACTGACCGTTACTGACAAGTTCAAGTTCTCTAAACGAATTATTGTACTGGTATTAAACTCTCGTTAAATTTATTTGCTTACTATTTGACAAAACAGAGATTGTTGCTCATGTGTCTGTTAATCTATGACTTTAAGAGTCTACATAAAATACGATTTCAAACAATTTTAATTTTTTTATGAAATAAAGAGAGTTTGAATTTGAGGAGCAAAAAAAGAGATTATTATTTAAATTAATTTAATATCAAATCGAGTAATACTAAACTAGTAATTTACACAGGATTCGCTTCTATGAATTACAATTTTTAGGAAAGGAATTAGCTCTAATCAATGCAAAGATTATTTGTGTAAAGGTAATTTTGTCCGTCTAAGGTTTTCAAGCCTCTTGTTTACCACGTCCGTTTCTCATGTCAATCATTTCAAGCAAAAAAATGTATACATCTATACAACCAAATAAAATTAAAATGTGATAGATTTTTACATGACTTTCGCTAGCAGGTAGCTGAAGTTACAAAAAGTAACTTGGCTACTTTTTTCAAAAAAAGAGGGCTCTCCACACAAAGAATATAATTAAGTACATTAGGGCGATACCGGAGTAGACGCAGTCAGCATTTAATATCATCTAGGAACTTACATGAGTGCATCAAACTTATACAAGTTGCCGTCTACTTGTTTGGCACCTTATCAGTATAAATACAAAAAAATAAATTAAAAAAAAAAGAACTCCGACTACCGAAACAATCACGTCAACTATCAATGAAGGGTCTCTCATGCTGACCGCTCGCTATTTTCAGAATGCAGCTTAAAATCATCCTAAATTATGTCCTATGTATTAACTCTCTGTACTAATTATAATCATTTTCAGGAGAAATGAAGAGCGCTGATCCCAGCACCACGTGGGACGAATAGTCGGAGAGAGAGAGAAAGAGGAGGAATGTTAAATTTGCATTTCAAATATTCGTATTTCCGTTTGGCAAATTTTCTTATAAATCCGTACAAAGATATTAATATCTAAAGTTCATATAAAAAAGTGCACAAAGATTGTATAGCAATATGTATTTAAGAAATTAAATATCACTTAAAAACGCCCACATCAAGTACGGAGATCTAAACATACAATAACATGTTTAGCGATTCAAACTTTTGTAATAAATAAATGGAAAGAAAAGTAACAACTTAACGAATTTTCTAACAAGGACTTAAAACCGGTCTCAAGTTTTAATATTTATTTAAAATTGTATCTATAATTTACTTACAAAACAGTTTA